CGTCCGTTCTCAGAAGGAAGTATCTCTCCTCAGTTTTATAGGGGACAGGTGCCTCAAGCGAGGACACTGATATTTTTTTTTTTTTTGGGCGGCATTATTTCCCTAATCGGTGCTTGGCATCCTGATCAAGGGACAGGTACCTTAGGCATGCTGGACTATCAAGCCAGAAGCAATCATAACAAAGATAAAAAGAGTTAATCAATTTGGTGGGTCATCGTCAATAAATAACTAAAAAAATCAAAAAAGGAAAAAGAAGGGAAAAAAAAAACATTTTCTCTTGAGCTTGTGGATCGGATAATTTCTTTTGGATTTAAAGTCCGTTTTTCCTTTTTTTTCAATGGAGAATATTCCGAATATTCCAGATTCGACCCGCTGTGTGAACCGGGAAGTGGGGCCCAGGAGCTGGCCAAAATATTTTATTTCGACAAAATTCCCGCTTACTTGCATTTGCTGGCAGAAACTTACATATTTCACCGCTGGCTTCTCTGGAAGGAGGGCTGTATGGGACAAACCACTAGAAATATTATCATTATTTGGTGGGCTTAAAGGTTGTGCTATTCTTTACCATGATGGTCGGAGCATCTACACATGTAGCTTGAGAACTGGCGATACGCTCCATCTATTATGTTGGACTCTTCTAAAACAGAACCTCAACTTTTTCCTGGGCGTGTTGCGTTGACAACCTAGATCTAGGGACTCCACTCCCTATTTCCGACCGGGTACATGTAAATGCCGGAAACAGCCTCGCATGTAACTGGGAACTTGTCAAAAACCATATTCAGCACGAATGGAGGCATATTAGCAGCGGTCGGGTTCCGGGAGCGCCGCCGAAACGTGGGTGGGGTGAGCAATTGTCGTAACTTCATCCCAACCACCTGCTCCAAGCGTGATGAATATAGATTGTCGGCCGAACAATTCATACAGATGCTGAACCCCCCAGTTGCGAACTCGGACACATTCATAGACGTAGATAATATCCTCTTTTTCTGTGAAGCTCACCAAACCCCCTTTATTATTTGTAATTGTGATCTTGGGCCTGCGCGCTGTGTGGTAACCAACAACCAGATATCCCTGGGGTCTGCCTTCTTCGACAAGTTTTTGATAGAACTCATGGTGATTGTTTAACCTATGTTCTTGAAATCTTTCGGTCGCAATTGTAGTTGTGACGCCCCTTGAAGACGTATAAACGGATTTGCAGTTCGCGAAAGCATTAACGCTGTAGTCTCTGTGCAATCCCAGATCGAGGAAGTTGTTTGGCGGTTCTGCGTCCTTAAAAATAAAGTAGCCCAGCTGGACATCCTTTTTTGGCAAAAAGGGCACGAACAAGATCTCTGCCATAGTCGTGAAAGAAGGAGGAAAGTGTTTATAGGTGGAAACGAAGGCTCTAAACGTGGGCGGCCGCTCTGACCCTACAGAGCGTGAGCAGAGTATGTATTCTGGAGTGGATAATATTCATATACTGTATATACCTAGAATATTAGGTTCCCCTCTTTGAATAAGGGTTGGCCTTGGCCCATGGATGGATAAGAGAATGTACCACGGAAACCCCAGTGCTGGGCGGAAATTTTCAACGGTGAAAAACGTAAAAGGATTAACGTAATTTAGATGAATTGGGACTGATGTATATTACAGGTAATATTAATAAGTATTTTGGTTCTATTACCATGTCTTGATGCACTCGGATTGCACTTCTGGCATGCTTTCCAAAATATCTTCACGTTACTGGGCGGATCTGTACATGTTGCTACGGTCTCGGCTTAATTCAGGGATCGAGGATGTAAATAGTAAATGTTGTTATCTGTTGGCCCATTGGTCTTTTCACCGCTTTTGCCAACCTTTACCAACTACGAGCGCATATGTCGGTCCCTAATGACCTAGAATTAGGATGATTTGGCACTGCGTCTGGAAGCCATATGCCCCGTCCTTAGCGAAAGATTTACATGGAGAACCACAATATCCAGCGAGGATTGGCACCCAAAATTTCGCTAGAGGTGTAGACGTCCTTTGGACCGCGGTTCTGTAACGAATGATGGTATTTTATACCAATATTACGCTAATTCCCTAAGGCCTTGTGGACTGACCTAAAGTCCATTCGCATGACGCCTCAGAGGATGCATGGCGTTATACTCTCGCGATGTCCTGAATTCAAAGCTCAGAGAGAACTATAAAGGGGAGGCACCATCCCTTGTAGCTTAACCAGAATCTAGTTCAACATGCGCTGTTGTGCGATGTCCTCATCCTTAGGCAGTCTCCCCCTGAGGTACGTAGGAGTCTTGGAACAGAAACTCCGTCTTTTAATCAAAAGCAAAAATAGGTGTGGGACTCTATCCTCTTTACCTTACACCGAGATGTCTGGTGAAATTTTCTCGTGCTTCTTCGTATTGTTCCCACATGGTTCGTTCGCAGGTCAATCGCCGTATCATGTATTATCTCTCCCCGCGGGCACCATTCAAACTCCAAATGGTACTCTCGGACCCGGCGGCAATGCAAGGATGTGAGACATTGGAATTGACCCGGTGCCGAGATCCTGCCCAATACCAGTACTTTGGCACCCCGAACACTGTCCGAAAAACGCTACCGCGGAATGATAACTACATCAGTCTCAAGCTATCACGAAGCCAGAGCCTCAAGAAGCTCAATCCAGGTTCAATCGCGCCGGACAATATACCCCCAATCCCAGCGCACGGTGGTTATAGTAAGACGATACAGCTTGATGAGCTTGACTTTCTTTACCAAATGTGCTTTGCTATTCATAGATGCAGATCTCAATCATATACCCACGGGAGCAACTTTTGTGGCGGGAGAATGAAAATGATTAGGCTTTGGAGCGACCGATTTACCCAAAGCCCGGTTCAATCTAATCTCAACGGCAGCGGACCTGACTTGACGCTGTTTTCGAAACTTGTCTGGACTGATTCAAGCTTTGATGTTAGTATTTTTATTTCGGCGCACAGGGGTATCTTGCTAGAACAGGGGTGTTTCATACCTTGTCTTGCACATTTTGCTGGATTGTATTCCGCGTCACAACTGTTTCAAATTGACGTCGATGAGGTGGTTATACGAGATAACTATCTATTAGCCCTCTTTGAGGGCTTCAGCTTTTAACTAGGCGCCGACCTCCTTGCTAAATTAAGTTCTTCTTTTGCTGGCAAAAAGATGTCGTGGGGTACGATATAGGCTTACTTGGGATCTTTCAGTCTACCACACACAGAGTGCTATCTGCTTGGTCTACACTTTCTTAAGAAAAATTGGGGCAAGGATCATCCACTTTGGTCCCTTTCATGATCGTATCGCTATTTCGGTAAGCTCCTGCTAGACCCCAATGAGGGTAAAAAAAGCCTAAGAATCATCATTCTCTAGGGTCCACATATTCTGCGTTAGATCAAGTGATGGCTTCCCAACTGAGGAATCTACGGTCTACGCACTAACATGCAACGAAGCCTTCCGAAAGCCCTAGCAAGTGACAACATCGCGTACTCTACACAGAGTGTCACAACGTCCTAAAAAAATCAATTCCATAATAGGTCGACTGCTGACACACTTAGTCCTTGATCGTCTATTATCACCTTGTCCTCTGCATTTGGAAGCGCTGTATCGTGAGCTTCGAATTTGTAGTGCATTTAAAGGTGTCTTGAGGAGATTTGCTTGGAGCGTATTGTTCAGTTAATGGTGTTCTTTCAGGAACTTCGATAGTGAGTATGAGGGCTGTAAATACGTACAATCGAGCGTAGTCGACCAAAAGCGTCAGAGACGTGCGTCGGGCGCTTTTTCCGATTGGATTTTCCATATTGAGTCTATTTACTACATATTTTTCGCATTGAGTAACTCGCAAGACCAGACCCTTGATTCTCGATTCCCTAGGAGAATCAATGCAGTCGGTATTGACATCCAACTTTTTCACCTGCCATGAAGAAGCCCTTGGCGGATATAACTATTCGATAAGTATAAACCGCGTGATATGTCCCTTAAGATTAGAAATCAGGTATGGTTGAGGTTGCAGACGGATGCGTTTGTGTTAGCTCATCTAGCGTAAGCGCCTTTTTAATGGAAAAGGGTTCAAGTGGAGTTCCGGTTCTCTCTCCTCTACGACCTATGCTGGCAGACTTGCTTGTCCTCCCAGCCTGACTTTCCATTCTGCTGTCTATTCCACCACTCTTAGGCTTGACCAGAGACATGATTCCGGTGCATTCATCAATATGTGATTATGAACCCCTGTGCTGAGAATACCGCACTATTCCGTAAGATACGAGTAGAGCATGCTACAGGAGTAGTATGTCATGGAATTCGAAATTTAGGTGTATGACGTGTTGTTTGTGCATAAGGGCCTTTCCTTGCCTGCCATTTCCGCCTTGGGATTCGCTATGGTAGTTACCGCGGGCTATGCGGTTCTATCACGTCTCATACACAACGAGCATGATCGTCCCAGGAAGGCAAGCGCCGGTATGCATTACATTCAAGTGTAGCGCCCTGTGCGCAATCTTAGCTAGAATGACCCACTCCAGGTTGAGACCAACACCCTGACTATCGAATGGAAATATCCGCTAGGGGCAGCGTCATGACGAGTTTCCCAATCTAGGTAAATAGAATCGATTCACGCTAGTTACATACAGTATAGCACGGGAAACTGTAGGATAGGCATTATAAAAATTGGGAGGGCAAGGTAAGCTGCCATCAGTGCGCTTCTTCACTGCGGCTATTTTACTAAACCCAAATCTGCTCTCAGGCCTACTTTGCCAAAACACGGATGCCATCATGTTGCGCAGAGTCATCCTCGCAGCGGCGTTAATGCTGAATCCCACCGGAGGTCTCGTACCCCGGCCCCGGATCTTGTGGGTCTAGAGAAACTCTGGTCCTACGGGCAGTTGGAGCCTGTCTACCCGACATGCACGTATCCCACGATAATGGCCATTCAAACTACTCTAATCTGATTTCTAGTCGAGACCAGAGGCTTAGGGAACTGGACAAACGCATATGTTCAAGCCAAGAAGCTGGTAGCTCAGATGACCGCCGAAGAGAAAAGCAATTTCACGTACGGATATACTTCGACCATTAATGGCTGCTCTGGAAAGTCGGGCGGTGTTCCGCGGCTCGGGTACCCTGAATTCCGCCTTCAGGACGCAGGCAATGGGGTCCGTGGCACCGACATGGTGAACAGCTATGCCTCGGGCATTCATGTCGGCGCATCGTGGAACCAGCAGCTCGCCTATGATCGGGCAAAGGAAATGGGGAGGGAGTTCAAGATGAAGGGGGTGAATGTTGCGCTCGGACCTGTAGTGGGCCCTTTGGGTCGTATCGCTCGAGGTGGCCGGAACTGGGCGGGCTTTGGCAACGACGCATACCTCTCGGGGGTTTTAGCAGGCGTTACCGTCCGTGAACTACAAGAGTCTGTGATAGCATGTGTCAAGCATTTCATTGCCAATGAGCAAGAGACCAGTCGTAACCGCCCTTACTCACCCCGGGTGCGCTCAATAGGTCGGTGTCATAGAACGTGGACGATAAAACACTACACGAGCTCTACCTCTGGGTCGAAAGCAAATTTCCCTCCAGATACACGCAGTGCTTCTCGATTCGTTATACTACGGTAATCAACATTGGGACAATCATTTAGACAATCATTTATTTTAAAAATAATTACTAAGTTAGGATCAGCACGTTACGTAAGCTGATATATTCCACGATCGTTTTTGGTAGGTTTCAGCACGCGGAAATACAGTGTCTAACGGAGCTGCTTGCCAAAATCCGTTTTGTCGACAATACCAACTGAGATCCCCAAGTAATACTCAACTAAGTGGATGTTCGGGGTTGCACTTCAGTTTTATACTTCGATACAGAGGGAAACCGAAAAATAAAAATAAAAATAAGACCACTTTCTACTAGTCAAATATAAAGATCGACCAATTGCCTATAAACTTATTAGGAGGTCTTGGCTTTACAAAAATCGAAGTTCACTCATCTCCTACCCTATACCTATCGCTGCATGTCTGAATGCGCTATTCGGGTCCGAAAAAAATGCCACCTCGAAATCAAGTATCTACAGCGTTTGGTCGAAACAGAAGATCACTACCTGAACTACCCCGCTGGAAACTGCGCATGATCTATGATATGATAGTCAGCAAAACACTGTCTGTGGCGGATATGGCAGAAGCGGCGAAATGCAGCGCGGAATCAATAAAAGAAATCTACCATTTGCTTCAAATCTTAGCCTTCCGTGAGGACGAAAATTCTCCCCCGCCATCTGCAACAGTCAATATAAATGTCTTGCCAGCAGACTCCTCAACGCTTCCATCAATCTCAATTTCGGCGACAGCTCGCTCTGTGAATATTTACGTGACAGGAAATATCACAGTTTCTGTTCCTAAAGAGGGCACCATTGAAAAACAAGAATCATGACCGACACGGGCGCTATGATGTTGAGACGACTTTCTTCGAAGTCCATAATCGCTCGCAATAAAGAATGCGCTAAAGCTAGCATGTCTTATCACAGACTAACACTAGCATAATAGAATATGGGTAGGGTTCGGTCTGGTTTATGTGTATTAAATCCGGAAAACCTTTTTGCCTTTAATGTTACAAAACCATATTACGTGAATAACAAATTAAGGAGTAATCAGATACGGCAGACTGGGAAGATCACCATGACATCTCTCACCAGTAATGCACGGCCAGAGGGTAATACTTCTCCAGATTTAAATATTCATCAGCGAGAATCCTAGCGACAGGAGCGAGTAACGTGTGAGGTACGAACTTAAACAAAAATTACAGCTTACACAGAGCCTCTACTCTTACTTACTACGTCTTTTCCCGTTGTGTGAAGGGATCGTAAGTCAACACGATTTAAGTTTAAAACGGAACAATTTTTAAGGCTTGCGTGATATCGATTCTGTTCTCTAATATTGATGGAGAATCGGTGAGCTGGATCGTATTCCGCACAGCGTGCTTACACCACGGTATTGTACACTTTGAGGTGCGAGATGCTGAAGGGTCTCGACGAACTTCGATCGTTACGCCATCGGTGATCGCAATGCTGATACCATGGCAGGGCAGCTAGACTGATTGCAAGCAAGCTTGCCTCGCCTCATCCGGAGAAGGGGTGACGTAGTGGCTTTGTTCGTTTTGTTATGACACACTGCCGAAACAGTGGAGTATAGACAGTCCAGTGCTACCTCCTGTGGTTTCGCTCCGCCAGCAAGTCGACCCCTGGTCTGTCGCTTCCGCTTGATCCATATCATATTCCGCAAGAAAAAGAAATACCAAGCAAGCACTAATGTGCCGTGTATAGATCGTTACAGAATTCCATGCGAATTTTCTCATCAAGGATGCCTTCTTTCACAACAACATGCGACTTTCCGTTCATAACTTCGTGTTGTTCCCAAATCGAAGACACACCATGCCTTGATATGTTCTCAAACAACCACTGCTCGTAGTCTGGCTCACGTTGTTTTAGAATTGTGCCAAACTGTCCATCGACCGAGTGTTTTTTCATGCATCGCTCTATACGAGACAGGGCCTTCTCAGTGATGTCGCTAGTATCGAATTCAACCATAAGACACCTTTGATCATATATTTCGTACCCGAGTATCAGCGTGAAATGGGCGCGTGCGCGATATGCCAGAATCTTCGACATTTGCTTCACCACATCACTTAGTGAAATATCCGCTGCGCAGAAGGCGCGTAGTAGATAGTTAAACTCAGTCATAGCTTTAGCTTCTGCGCTAGTGTGGACAAGCACGAATATTTCCAGAAAGAGGTGTGAATGGGGGTCCCGAGGATTATATACTTTCGTACCGAAAAGCGCTACCTTATTACAACGATCCTTTGAATCTATTCCGGTAACCCTCATGCCAAGCGCCCTTCTTGTCATCTGATTAGTCAAAGGAGAGGGTTTTGGCCCCAGGGCTAGTAACTTAGCATGAATTCAGTACCTGGTTATATAATGGGGAATGCCTCATTTCAAACCATTTCTAACAAACTGCTACGAGGATGCTTGACAATACTCTCTCGTTATGGCCTTTGTGGCGATCGGTTGCTAGAAATTTGTCGGTGGGCGATCTACAGTCGCTCCGAATGTGCAACAAGCGCCTGAACTCCATATGTCTCGATGAAGGCCTCTATAGGCGTCACGTGTTCGCGCATGACCTGAGAAGATGCTTCTCTGACTGGGTGATGTTCCTTGAAGTGATACGGTCAAGCAATGCGCTATTAGCCGGACCCCCGATCATAAAGCTCTTGACACAAGAGCATCTGAAGGTGGTCGAAGATGTTGACATATGCGTCACTGAGAAATATGGAGCAGCGTGGGCGCAGTATCTCGCGGAACGTGAGGGCTATGAAGTCATCTACGAGTCTTCACGATGGCGCAACAAGCGGAGCCAGGTAAGGCTGACCCATGGGCTTTTTACCGAACTAACTTTATAGGTCTTTCGTTATTCGAAAGTGGTTAAGAGGGGCGCAGATTCTGAGCGGCGCGTAGTGCAGCTTTTTGTCTTCGTTTCACAACGAATCGAGGAACAGTACTGCCAGTTGATGGGGATCTCATCACTTATGACCTATTGGCGAAACAATCAGATTGTTTCATTCTTCTCACAACAACTGTTCTCAAAGACCTTTTGGAGCACACGTGTTGGGTTCGTCGGAGTATTTCCATACTCTGGTCTCAGGTATGGCAACATTCAAGCGCTCCGCGAGGCGGGGTTCCATGTCAATGGTTGGATATCTTTTGATGAGAACGAAAGCTGTAAATTGAGCAGCAGGTGTGTGCTGTTTCCTGTTACGCTCACGGGAAGACATGATTTCCGGATGAGCCATATGACTCCCTATCGAATAACGGTGGAGTACCCAGAAGTTACAATCGAGTACAGTCAATCCCAACTGTGATTTGGTGAATTAGAGAATATTGTAGACCTAATGAGTGCATGTTTCGCGGGGGCGCAGCTGGAGTGGGAGGTGCAAGATGCGACCGACCTTCATTAGGTTTGTGTATGGCTGAATGCTCGACAAATTCACCATACATGTATCAGCACGGAATATAATCTACTCTACCAGATATTGAAGAAAGAGCTTCCTTTTGAGGATTACCCTCTAATGTAGAAGCACATCGCCATTTGGTGTTATGACCACGTGAAAAAGTATGAAGGAATTCGGTACGGCCGGTGTCATACTTGACCGATTTGCGTTTTTACTCGTCGACACTGGTAGCTTGGCCCACCGTATGATGGAAGCTATTGAAATCGTACCTAGAAGGATAGTTAGCAGGACCACCAAGATCATCTATAGGGGTAGCTCTTCCGCTTATACTCTTTGATACTCTCTGACCCCCCGGTGCCAGGCAAAGGAGGGACACTTGGCTCGAGAGGCGACAATAAGGTATTGCTTCGTGTCTGTAGAGTGCCCCGGTTCAAGTGTGCCAAGTCCCTAGGTCTGTCTTTCAAACCTGTCTACCGGGGTTGTGGACTAGGCTTCATAAAGTCATGACTTATGCTCGGCTCAATGTCACCACTCAGGTTTTTTTCTATATGTGACAATTTTGAACTTGGAACTCGGTATTTAGAATGAAAAGGATTATGCGTCTCGTCTAAATGCCATGACAGATGCCGTTGTTTTCCATGTTTTCCATTCACCTCCGTGTCAAGCCAAGCATTTTTCTAAGCCTGGCTCTTAAGCCTGCGCTTGATTCTCTGCGAACGTCCGTAGGTTCAAAAATTCCTAATACCAGGGCTATATAAAATTAGACTGACTCCGAGCTCTTCATCGCGAATCTTACCTAATTTTCCGGGGTAGGCTGCTGACTTCCCGAAGACAAGGCTACTTATTATTAGAAAATGCTCTGAAAAAAAAAAAAAGCAAAAGGACACCTGAGGTGGGCAATGAAATGTGAGCGTTTGATCCTGACCAAAAGCATTTATCGCAGAAGTTTCGCGTCGTAGGTTTCTTAGATGGTGTCTTCTCGTCTGTCTGTGTTATCATTCTTCGATCGCTAGATATCTCCACATTGACATCTTTTTCGTCTAAAAAGGCAATAAGACTTCCGGCTAAAAAGTTATAAATATGCTACCACTTGAAGGGTTTCAGAGGGACATTGGAATCGTATCACTTACTTCCGCCTCCGCATTTCGTACATATAGAACAATAACAAATGAAGCTGTTTGGGTTTTTAAACTTTTGGCGCTTGGTGGAAATTTTGACATTACCACAAACGCAACTGCCCGTCAGGTCCATTTTGAACAGCACACTTTTTCAAGTTTGCCTACGAAAGTAGGGAATATGTGAAGATATAGCGTTTCACTTGATTAAGCAGACAACGCCAAGGGAGCGGCAACGTATGCGGCGTTTTTATGACGACATGGTTAAGAGTCGTCTATTAGCTCTAGTCATTGCTAATCTTACCCCTACTTGGGTTCTATCTTAATATGCTTTTCTCTGATCCGAATTCCACTGTCCTGTGTATTACGATGAACCATGAGACTGGGTATCATAAAATGCCGTTCATGTTTCCTCTCACAAGGCGTATACGATAATACGATGCTAGATTTGGATTAATGTTGCGAGAATATATATTATACTACATTACTAAGTAGCAGATACCCTGAGCTACACTGGTCGGAGGAAGCTTAAAGTCTCCAGCGAGCTGAGATCTTTGAGAGATGCATTGTATACCAAAGCCCCAGAGAAGAAAAGAATCGATCAATATATTGTGGAAGAGATAATCGACTCTGACCCACATGACGACGAGAACCATGGCCGACACGCGGCGGCCAAGAATAACCACAAGGGCTTCACCTTTAGTCTATCGGCGTACAATGAACATGCGCAACCAGCTCTCCAACTGAAGAAGAATGGCACTACTAATGGAAAATACCTTGAAGCAAAGCTGGAAGAATTAAATTCTCACAAAGAAAAAGGCACGTGGAAGGTCATTCCACTTCAAGGAGGGATCAAACCGGTTACTTCACGATGGGTCACTACCGACAAGTATGGACCGGACGGCGAAGTCGCCAGGCGCAAAGCTCGCTTAGTAGCAAGGGGCTTCCAACAGGAAGAAGGCATAGACTATGAAGAGACGTTCGCGTCCGTGGTCAAGTCAGCTTCGACCCGTATCTTGCTCGCGTTGGCGGCGATTTGCCACTGGAATGTCCACCAAGGGGATGTGAAGACGGCGTTCCTGAACAGTGAGTATTTGCTTGAATTGCTATTTCTAAAACGGAAAAGCTTCACTTTTTGCCAGCGACATGAGATCTAGACATCTATCCCTAACAGCCCGCCTCCTCCCCTGCTTTTTGTTTCTTTTCTTTTCTTTTTTTTTTCGGTTCAGGAGTAATCAGGAAAAGATTGAGCAGTGGCCTGAAAATGGAAAAAAGAAACGAAGAAAATTGAACCAAAAAAATTTAACAACAAAAAGTTATTATAACCCGCAAAGGATCTCTCTCGAAAAGGAAAGTTAAAAAAATAATTAGAATATGAGTTCGCCCCGCTATCCCGTCTAAGCCCAAAGCGGCCTTTCAACGTTCTATACTCGGCTCAGATACCTTCTTTGTTCTTGTTTCCTTTTCCTTTCTTTTCCCCTCGTTGAAGTTTTCTAGAAAGGCGGCAGGGATGTTGAAAAGACGCAAAAAATTAAGAGAATTCAATTTCCTTGCCCTAATATGAAGGCGGACGTAGGTGGTCCCCGCTATCTCCTCTAACTGTAAAGTAGGCTGTGCCTATAAGCTCTTCTGCTACGAAGCGAATGTGTACCCCCCACTTACCAACCCACCCCAGCCAGTTTGAAAACCTTCTACTATATACATGTTATGTCCAAGGGCCGTCATCTGCCGGTCCAAATTTACCCCTATAATACATCGGTGATGTCAAAGGCATTGGCACGCATCAGGTATATTTCCCAGCAATAGAGTCGGAAAAGGGCAGAGGTATGGCTGATTTTAAAACCACCACAACAGAGAAACATAAAACGATCTCATATCATGAAAAAGAAAGTGTTGCTATCCTAAAGGCTATCCACAATTATAAAATGATTCACTACATCCATGTGTATGGCAGGCAGTATAACACTTCCTTGGATACTGCATATCACCAAATTCACCTTTTATTGGAGGCGGCCAAGCGCAGGACGCCAGAAAAAGCTCAGTGCCACGGCATATGCTGGTATCAAACCCGTATTAGATATCATCCGTCCTGGCTCCGAAGGGAACTCGTGCGTGTGTGGAGGGGATAAGGGAGTAAAACGTTTGAATGAGGTATGGTACGACATATGTGTTTTTCGTATGAATCTGAAGATTGAAGCAAGACTCGATGAACGCCTTGTGCGAGACTTGCGTGGCCTTCTCGGACAATACATGATGGTAAAGAAGTTTGAAATCACAGGAGGGGGTCCCAATGATACCACAAAACGCATGCGCTCTCTGAGAGACGAGATCCAATGGCTAGATGATCGGCCAGTGGTAAAGAGAGGTACAGGGGACCGCCAATATTTTGGCGAACGATTCGGCATTGGAAGGGATATCTAATGGGAAGACTCATAAAAGGCGAAAAAAGAGACTTATAAAAAAAACATATAGGATGCGTGCGCAGATTTCATTCTAAATTGAACCCATTTCCGTGAGCCGAACCAATAAAAGGCCGTTCCGAACTAAATGCTTTCAACAGCATCTGGTAGAAGTATCCAATGAAAGTCTTAAGTACATGCCTATGTTGCCAAGATATTTAAAGCAAAGAAGGCGACCGAGGGTAATTTGAGAAGCTGCGAGAGTGTGCTAGGAGAGTATTCTTTCCACGAGGATAGTTGCAGAGCCCTCTTCCAAATCTTTGAATTGATGGCGGTCGTAGACTGTCGTACGGGAACATGGGGGCCGTGGGCAAGGACAGGGCCGCTCAAGGAGCAAGTAATACATTCCTATATGAAGATCACTCTTCTAGACTAGGCTTGTAAAGCAAGGGGTACAATTTTGAACACATTTTTATGCGCGAACATCAGCTGCTCTTTCGCCCCTCATCGCGTTCCTTTGACGGAATTAATGAGATACATACAGACTGTAACGTGCGAGGTGGGGGTGTTCCAAGCCTGACTAGGCTCTCAGATTTGACGTACTAGAAAACACCGTATCATGTGCCGATATTTGGCAAAATCTCCCAAACAAAAACATTTTCATAACCAAACGACATCTCATCCTGTCACTCCAACTTATCCCTAAGCCATTCAAACCTTTACCTCCGCCGGATGTAAGCTCACAGTCACCGGATCAGCCGGACAAGAAGTCAGTGAAACACCAAAACGAATCTCCCTCTCCGGGTGCACATCCTCAATCTGATCAAACCTCTGTAACAATCTCACCAGCACATAACTAGACCTCATCAAAGCAAACTTCTGACCAATGCATCTTCTTCGCCCCGCATTGAACGGAATATACCCCAAAGAGGCATTCCCGCCGTCCCACCGGTCCGGATCGAATATTTCAGCATCGTCGCCCCAGATATCCTTTCGACGGTGCAGGACATAGGTGCTGTACATGACTGTATGACCCTTGCGGATGTAGATCGGTGAAGTACCGTCTACGCCGCCGCCACGAGGGAGCGTAGTATCCTTTGTCGCGCAACGGCGGTTGAAGGGTACGATAGGGTACAGACGAAGAGTCTCCTTAAGAAAATGCTGGAGGTACTGGCATGATTTTAATGACTCAAAGTCCAAGTTGCATGGCTGATCATAAGTACCGAATTGTTTGAGGATATCGCTTCGAAGTTTTTCGAAGACGTTCTGGTGACGTGCGAGAAGGAGGATCGTCCAGCTCAATAGAGAAGCCGTTGTGTCACGGCCTGCTAGGAGGACGTTCAGGGATTCATCGCGCAGCCTGACGGGGTCTTTCGTAGTCCGAGCCAGGGCTTTCAAGAAGAAATACTGCGACGGAACCTTTTCGGCGCCCTGGGCTTTCTCCTCCTCCTGCTGTACCTGCCTCAGAGCAGAGAGAGCATACTTGTCGACGAAGGCGTGCAAAATATCAATGCACTTCTTAAACTCCTGATTGTAAATGACCCAGTAGAGCCGGTCAAACCGGAGTCGCTCCGCGAGATACCACATACACCGGTCAAACGCGTAGAGAAAAGTATCATCACAGGCCTGTCCTGCTTCCCTTGCGTAGCAGCAATCTGGCTATCACAGCTTTTGCCGAAGAGGAACTCTGTGGCCGAGTCAAGGGTAAGACGAAAGAAAATGGCTTGAATATCCACTGCGGATGACCCGCCGTCAGAAAGAATCGAAATGGCGTGCAATGCATTTTGAACATGACGTTCTTCCCTATCAAGATTGCTTATCTGATCTCGTTTAAACTGAGGCCGTAGCAGCGATCTGGAATGCTTCCAATCCTCGCCATCAGTAGTAAACTAGGCCGAGTCAGCCAAGCCTCCAGAAAATGTAACTTCCGCTGCGGGAATAAGACTCACGATTCCATGACCGACAACGGGGTCAGCTACATTACGGCGCATATCACCTAAGCCGAAGTCCTTGAACTGAGCCACCAGCATAGCCTGGACATTCTCCGGATCGGCCGTGAATAGCTTCCCCAACCCATACGAAAGGTAGAAACGTATCTGCCGAGCTGGCTAGATAGGGAATCTATCCGGTCCTCTGCAAGTGCTGGAAGCCGCTTCTTTCTCGCTGCTTCACGTGTCTTGAGGAGGGTGGAAATACCGAAAGGATCCTTGCTGGGATAGAGAGGGACTGCTTTACAGTCTAATCTGCGAGCTTTCTGGGCATGACGCCAGGTGGAATATACGAAGAATAACAGACGCCCTGCAATTGCGAGTGCCACAAGGGCTGGGACTAACCAGCTTTGCATGAGGAGGTTGTTAAGCGTTGTGGTACCAGTAGGGGGTGTTAGGATACGCTTTTGTCTCGGACACAGTGTGGGAGGTGAAAAAATAATAACAATCTTTATCTGGGAGTTCTCAAGCATATAAAGGACTGAAGCAGGTTGGTAACACAAAGGAATACGGCACGGGCGAAGAATTCACAAGACGATATATTTTCATCAAATACACCCGAGATGAACAAAGGTCCAAGATCCTTGCAAGACAAGATGATGCTGGTGGAGCGCCTGAATACCTCCAGACAGCCACTCTTATGTTGGGGACTCCACCTGAGCGCTGCGGTTTTCTTGAGCCGGTACACTTTAACCATCCTAACCACCTGACGAGCATAGCCACATATTTGTAGGCATACCGATCATAGAGGATCAGAACTCGATCAAGGCTGAAATAGCAGGGATATATCAAGCAGACACTGTAACCGAGTGGCCTGAGACTCTAATCGAGGCATAGGCAGTCGTGAAGGACATCAGAGATATAGATGCTTAGGTCAAGGATACTACAGCACTAGCAAAAGAGGGAGAGGGGAAACGAGCTATCTCGAATTGGTACTGCCCTGGTGTCTATTGTTGTTGATTGGTATAGGACAAATTCCACTGAACGCGGGAACTATATATCAACCTGCCAACAAAACGACATTCAAAAGTAGGAGAGTAGAGGCTCGATGGCATTACCTAAGTACTGTCTCTGAATGTCTTCCGGTACCGATAGTCAGACTCGTTAATTCCCTCTATGAACCTACCACACCAGAAAAGGAAAATATGCGGAGCTGTTGACGAGCGTCACCACTGTACCAGAAGGCTTTGCCGTAAAACTGGGCACGCTGTACTACAACCTACGCGGGGCGAGAACCGACCGTCACAACGGCCTTTTATCCATGAAATATGCGAAGCTTAAGCCCGACAGAGGCTGTTCTTCTGCCCTACTGCGTTTGCGTTCTATCCTCGACATGGACGTGAGGCTTTGTGGAGCAGTTGTGCTGTGTTCGGGGAGATGCTACAGTATTCGGCTTCTAAACCGCCTTTCCGCTATTCCTAATTGAGAGTGGGGTACAGTACGGCTGTTTATTCCCTTGTTTAACTTGAACTTTATTGGTTTAATTTCATTTAACTTTTTCGGCTTTATAGATTTTCTTGATTTGGTTAACTTCATTTTGCTGGTTTCGTTTTGTGAATTTTGATCATATATTTTATTTTATTCCCAATTATTGCTCCTTTTTACTTCTTTGTAAATCTTGATTTATATTTCGCTTATTATTTCGATTCATCACGATTCTATGATTATTTTAATGATTTTTCCACTATTGTCGTTCTTATATGTTGCTCTTTCTTGAGGATAACGTGCATCTCTAGAACCGGTTCTCGCAGTAAGCGGCAAACCTAGCAAGAAACAAGGGTCCATTCGCCATTCATCCGAAGACATTCAACTAGAGAAGAGAAGGAGGGAGAGACGCAGAGCTAACGACATAAACCCCTCACCGCCTTTGCGGTTCTGCCACTCATGCAGGCTAAGGCCAGTAATGCAGTATCGCTAACATCAGTTTTATAATAGTTATTAGGTAGCTTGTGCAAGTCAGGTGATAGGCCTTTACACTTTCAAACTGTCCACCAATATTGAAGATGTAATTGGCAATGCGTCCCTAAAAGCATAGCCTGATCTACGAAGTGGATGCGATGCTTCATAATCTGTGGATGGTGGAGCGATCAATGATTCTATTCCCAGGGTCTTTGTCAAAAATTTTGGTGCGAATCAACCGTCGTGAATCCGCAACATGGCAACAACTATTGAACAAACATACCCTTTTTTTGGATTCAACTAGTACTAATACAGCAACCTATGGTTCTGTGTCTCTGCATATTGTTGTAATATGAGGCTGGTGCAGGCCAGGAATCAAACCGTACCGTCGGAATAAATTCCCGCATTGTCTATACGATGAACCAAGTTGATTTCAATCAACTTGATCTTCTCATCGTATATATAGCCCCAGTTATTCCCTCCTGTACAACAATGATAGTCAATTAATGGTGAAAGAAACGGCCCTTCGACTACGGACAGGACCAAAGTTCGCTGTCCCGCCAACGATGTTACGTCGACGACCGGCAGATGAGAGAGACTGGGCTGGATGGTCACCGATGGAGGCGCAAGCTTGGAAGGCGGGCGGATGTCTTATGGCTCCCCCGGATACTTTGACGAGGAAATGGGAGAGTCGAAAGGCATTCGTCCTGGCACCATGGCAAGCGCCACCAGAGGTAATCATCGAGGAAAGAGAAGCTGCGGTGAACAATCACAACCAGATCCTGATGAAAGACCCAAGAGAAAGACCCTTGATTCTGTACACCGACGGGAGCGGAATTGATGGAAGGATCGGAGCGGCAGCGGTCGTGGACCTTGAGGATCAACATGCTCATAGCCAGATGGGAGATGATAATACGTCCACCGTATATGCGGCAGAGCTTCGAGCCATTGAGATGGCACTTGAAATGGTTCTGGAAAGCACAGAGCCATGGGCTAAGCAGGCGAAAAACGGGGTAGTCATCTTTGTAGACAGCCAAGCAGCGCTGAAGGCGCTGAGACGACCGCGGATGCCGTCAGGACAGGTCTATCTAGCAGGATGCCTCAACCTGATCCGACAACTTGCGGGCAGAAGCATTCGGACAGAACTCAGATGGATTCCTGCGCACCAAGGAGTCATTGGCAACGAGATCGTGGACCAACACGCAAAAGAAGCGGCGCAGGAACAGGACGGGCTGCATAACCCCCTCAACCGAGACATATGTCTCGCAGCCGCAGCGAGACGACGAATTCGCAGAGAAGCGAAGCTGGAGTGGGACAGAACGTGGGCCAAGGAAGCGACCAGTCGTCCGACGAAACGCTTGATTGAAGCACCAACAAAGAAGACGCTGGAATACTGGACGGGCTTGCGCAAAGCGACGACATCGATTCTGATGCAGCTTAGAACTGGGCGAATTGGCCTAGGGGCTTACCTGAATCGTATCAACCGACGCGAAACAGCGCGGTGTGATTGCGATCTTGGCAGCCAAACAGTAACACACGTCCTACTGGAATGCCCCTTGCACCAGGACGAGCGAGACTGGATGAGAAGCGCTCTCTCATACCAGGGAGTCGCTCTCCACCGGGACGAACTCCTCACACGACCGGAGGCCCGCACAGTTGTGGCCGAATTCATGGTCAAGACCGGCCTCCTAGGCCAATTTCAGACAGTCGACCCTACGGCTCTGGGCGAGGAAGGGGACGACAAAGGAGCGGAGACAATGATCCCTTAGACAGTGTGACGGAAGAAGAAGGATGGCGCCCATTAGGAGTGCAGTGCCAGGTCCACTGTACTCCCTTGATCCAAGCGAGCGCGCAAGCGGCAGCCGACAAGACTGGACAGTTGGAGAGAAGAGGGCGTGGGAATGGTGTGTTGAAGCGGGACCCTGGTCCTACCCGCGACCAGGGGTAAATGACGTTCATTTTGGCTTTGTGTTTATCATGTTTGCATCCGTGCATTTCTTTTGTTTAGTTTACGTCTTTCGATTCGAGGGCGATTGATCAGAAATTCGCAAGGCGAGTTCCCTGACGGTCGCCCAGTGGGCTGGCGACCACCTTCCAGCTGTCGGCAGGCCTGACAGCACTCCCGCATAGCAGCATATATATAGAGCGAGCTACATCGGGCAAATGAATACATCATCATCATCATCATCATCATCATCATAGTCAATTAATTCCTCTGAATTACAACACATATGATTGTACTCTCTTACTTATCACCGCACTGGCTCTAACCCGCAACTGTTACGGTAACATATTTGGGAGGTTAAATTATACTCACGTAAAGGTGGACCTCCCTCTTTCACGTGAGAGTATAATTTAACGTGTCTACTTTTGCGCAGCATACATTGTTATATGTGTTGCTACGAGTTAATAAACCTCTCAGTTCCATTTCAATAAAAGTTTCTTTCAACTCGAGCAAGTTAGTCTAATGCTTGAGAAAAGTACGTAACTTCGACTTTAGAATATCATACTCTGCGTTGCGGTTACGAGAGAAGTAGCAAAATAAAATACCGAGCTGCTCTCGCATCGCTGAAACCTTGACCTTACTGTTGAAGAACGCCGCCATATTTTCCGACACCACCCGCTTGTCTAATTCATATTTTGGCATACCTTCCACTTGGACCGCTGCAGCCACGGGCTTAGAGTTCAAATCTAAGACAAGGACACCACTCAAGGTCATCTCTGTACCCGATAACCGACACATAGTTTCGAACCGGCGAGGAGCCCCAGAACAAAATCCCCATCGCTTCGGGGACACTGGCTTATACTTCGTCACATATGGCGCTGGCGCCCGCAATAGACCTTATCAAGCAAGAGACGAAATGCCGGATTAGCGTATGTATACCGTAACGAGCGGAGTAACCGTGGCGAAATATAGCAGAGGTACTTCCCTCGCCGACCGAGAGTTATCCACCATCTTGGGTAGTCAGTTCGTCAAACTCATGAGGCGTTCATTTTGCCATCTGGTTTTTACTACAAGCAAGTTACTATCGAGATTAAGTCCGATAAGCGGGGCTGTGACAACGGCGAAACTGGACCCCTCGAAACTCCATTGGATTGCGCGAATGTCCCACATACGTTGTAGACACCTCTTGCTCCTTTCTACTCCAGTTTCCAAACAAAGTAAGCATAGGGCGGTTGCTTCAGCAGTAACATGTATATATCATCATATAAAAATCCGTGGAAATCCACGTCCATCGTGTTCGCGTTGATACCTTTTCCAATTTATTTTACGAGCCAGGTAGGACGTCATATTACAGATAATGTACTGTAACAATACAGTACACTACCTCATTTTCGGATATACGGTATCATATACCTTGATCCGTCAGATCCAAATATGGCGACAAGACTCATCTATAAATATATGCACACGGGCCTTGCAGGCCGTGCTTAGTATAAGTAGGGCAGACATTCCCCCTTTTTTGCTTTTGTGAATAACTTTGGTTATCAAAATGGTTGATGACGAAGCATCTGCTATCGAAGGCTATTGCCGCGGCTTTGATAAAGCTTGTGAAGATTTAGGGCGTCGAAAGGCGCTCGCACCTTTTCTTGGAAAAGAGGTAGATGACAAACTCGGTGAGTTTGTCCGTTCTCCTCGGCGGTTCCGGCAGGAACTCTCAAGAGCAAATGCGTTTGTGGCAGGGAAGCTTCCAGGCATTGTGATATATGGGCATAGTGATGACTGCCCTTATGCGAAGCGCTTTAAAGAATATCTAGATATCTTACATGTGTATGTTCATGGGCCAGACGCTGATCGTCTTGGTGAAGAGCTGGGGAAGAGCTTGTTGGAAGAACAAGGACGTACGCTGTTGGAAGAGAATCGCGGACGACTTGTATGTGCATTATGCTATGCTGAGTGGATAGAAAGCTGACTATGTTAGGGCTGTGAGCTTAAGTTTTCCTGTAGGAACGGTTGGAAGATTCACGTGCGATGTATTCGCGGCGGGTTCCTGACGTTCGGAGGTCATCCAGAGTGTATTATGACTGGCCACATGATTGTGTCGATGCTGCCGGAAGTTCGTCTGGCGTCAGGGGTGAGGGAAATTACCCCGTGGTCTTTTGAGACGTGGGATCATGCAGCGTTCGTCTTTACGTGGAATCGACGGCAAGAGAAGCACATTGTGCGGCGATCTGAGTGGTATGTGGCAGCACTTGGGGAAGTGTAAGTTCTCAGCCGAGTCGGGTTGGTATTCATATTGAGTACAGTATAAATATATATGTTCTCAGCATATGTGATCGAACGTACACTGCGTATTGTCACTCCCTGACAACTATGCCGAAGGCCAACTCCTTCCACTGCATCGTAGGTCTTCTCTCCTCCAAGCTCCGGTCGGGGGCCCCCAGGGTTTTCTTATATCCATAGGAGTAAAGAACGAACATCCTCATGAGAGTAGTACTGTAGGGTCAATTTTGCCTCGAACCAACATTCATTATTCGCTGCCGCGACACATCCTGCTGCAACATATACAGACATGTAGCCATATATAATATATATATCTGCAACCACAGGTACCTGTACGACATCCGAACACTGTATGTTCCGACTCGTACCCATGACTTCCACAAGGGTTAACCTTTCACCCCAAAAGTGTAAAACCCTCCACTACCTGTCGCCCATCTCGCAAACAAAAACACCTTGAACAAGTACGCCCGATACCGGGCCGGAATGCCTGCCGGCACAAGGATTGTTACTCAGACTAGACCATGTCAGCAGCATGCAGTTGACCAAATCATAATTCGCTCTCGCGAATTTAACTCACCACCATCGGATAAACCTAATCAACACAACATAACGCTGATACTCTATTCCGCCTCTTCTAGACCGCGAATATTTTATGGCGCCCGGCGCCGTCGACAGCGTGCCAACGCGTTCCAAACAACCCGCCGATCTTCACTTCGGCGCAAATGTCTCACTGCAGCACCAAGCATTGCTAGTCTCCTCGAAGGGGAGACTTGAGTGGTGGTTGCGCACACCGTCCATCCCGACTATATCGCCAGTCTCTGACTCGTTACCCTTCGGGAAAGCGCTGCGGTAGCCGGCCCTTGGCCGGGGTCCTCTACATCAACATGAAACATTTTCTATCAAATATAAAACCACACCTTTAGTAGACCTTCTGTCAACCTGCTTTAAACAACTCAGACCCTCAGGAGAATAAAATCCCTTCCGATGGGGCTTCGCCCCTCAGGCAGAAGCTGGGGCCCGCGGAAAAAATCATCGAAATTTGATTTACACGGAAATTGTGTCGAGTACATAGTCTGGCATTACCACAGTGAAGTGCTAATTCTGTATTCTGACGGTTGCACGTTTGACGATGGAAGCAAACTCACCAAATCGGGATGATAAGAGATGGCGCTCGTTATCAGTGGGAGATATCAAACGCCACCCTACCAGATAGTTTCTTTTCTTCTTTCTATTCTCTAGTCTTGATTCCCTCATTAAATGCACAGATTGTTCCCACTTCCCTTTTTCGTTGTAACAGAAATTGGTTTTCCCGAATCCTCAGATTCACATCATATAACATTCGACATGTCATATTCACTCCAAAGAAATAATCTTCAGAAATAAATGCAATACTCGTTCCGTATCAAACCCATCGTCGTCTTTTCTCCCAATGAATACAGCTCCAGCTTTTCCAAATTGAAACCGAACAGGGAAAAAAACAGGATCTTCAGCCGACTGCTGAGAGAAACAAACACGATGTGTAAACTCGTCACCGATAAAACGACGTCTCTGAAACTCCGCCAGTTAGGAACATCTTTCACTGAAAATACGTATAAACCCACAATCGACGTACTTGTCAAGCGCCTCTGTTATGATACCTCTGCCATGAGGCCCTATTTCCATATTGATGCCTCCGGCCTTAGCGAAGGCCGGAGGGGTTCTGCCGGAACGGCAGCTTCTCGGTGGTATACCGACTTCCAATCAGTCTGAGGTGGGAAACGACCCTGAATGGGGAAGCCAGCAATATGTATTTTTAGCTCAGAAATATGACCTTTTCGAGCCCACGACTGGTCGCTAGATTTGAACTGGGCGGATCAAAGTAACTCCGATAACCGGGTATTGTATTATACGGTCACAGTACATTGTCTGTAATAATATCTCTTACGTGACTCGTGAAATAAATTACAAAAAGTACCAGCACGAACATGATGGACGCAGCTTTCCAGAGACTTTTATATGTTGATATATACATGTTCCTCTGAGAGGGCTTTCGCGTACTGGCAAACCCGATCTAGATCTACGCGACGTTCACCAATGATAAGCTTATAGGGCCTGAGAGTGTGCATGTCAACGCCTTCACTCTTGGCAGCAACTCGAATAGCTTCAAAGTTTGCGTGTGTTATACACCGCAAAAGCCCGCGAATGGACAGTGACGCACCGAAAAAGGCCCGCTCATAAATAACACCCAAGGATGCACTTTCCAGCATGGGAGATATACAATTCTCCAGGTCGACGAGGGCTATCCGTGGTGTCACTCCACCTTGCAATTTTTGGTCAATGATAGGGCAATTGTGGAAATCGACGTCAGAGAACCTAGCCTCGATGAAGGTGGCAAGCTGCTCAAGTGCAGGATTCAAACGTGGAGCAAGTTGGTTTTAAATACTGCTCTGGAGCATTAAATCATGACTTACAGTAATAGTTTCATTCTATTTATTTTGGTTCTGAGGTAGGAACTTGAGTAAACATCAGGGCGATCAGGGTTACCGTTCATTCTCATGACATGCTTTTATCGAAATTATTTAACGTTTACTTTTGCTTCACATTAGATCCAACAGCGGTTTATATACTCCAATAACTTGATCCTGTTCAAGTCAGTTGTGACCTTTATATTGCCTGAAAAGACCAAGGAAAGCGCCTGCCACTAGAAAGCACTGTAGGACTCCCAGCAGCTCCTCCGGTAATATGAGCTGAAACGTGAGCTGACCTTATCTTACAGATGCGCTCTGTAAAAGAGACGCTGGAACACGGGAAAGATGCCTTTGTTAGAAAGTTTAGCCTCCATGGGATTTTATATTTTTTCAAAGATCGTATGGACCAAATCTCAAAATAGTGCGAAAATAGTCTCCGGTTACAGCGACCTATCCCTGCATAGCCCTTCAACCAGTGCACGATTTGACCGCCAATGTTAGTAATAATGTCTTGACAAGTCAAGTTCGTGGACCTAGAGCAACGAGCACTGTGCCTCTGTCGGGATACTCCAATACATCGGGTGCCACGATATCTTCAGTTTGGCGTTCGGCTGATAAAAGGTTATCCGTTGGTCTGCTTGTGAGCGGATCAGCATGTTGAAAGGCTTGGTCACTCTAGAACGTTATATTTTTACGATATAGAGTATATCTAGTCGGTACACGGAGCATTAGACACTTGAAACTCCTCAGCTCCCCGGGGGATAGGAAGGAACGACCTACCATTCTCGTATGTTACATGTGGCAACCGTGTTGAACAAACAAGTGAAATCAAATCTAGCCGGGTTCTACCACCATGCATTCATGGCATAGCAATTCCCAGCTCTTTTCCAACTCACGTCTAACGGAATACGCCATTTCCACTTTGTATAATTATTGTCAACAACTCAGTAAGATAGAGGAAGTTAGTAGACATACAGAAGTTTTGAAGCAAGGTCCACTAAGGAATGCCATGGTCGTATGCACCAAATGCTGCTGCAAAGTGTGAGCGACTAACGGTTGCGCCGGCCTATCAGACCCTCATTGACTGTCGCTTCATATAAGTAATCAGAGGATCCCCCTGGAAAGCAGCTGTACATTGGTTTAATGTCACCTACGCTATCTGTTCGACTAAGCCCTTGACGTAACCCTCCGCTTCCAAGTGCTGCCCGTCGAAATGGCACTCTCCGCAATCGAGTGTCTCCCGCCCGAGATCATCGAGACTATCTACCTCGATGCTTTAGAGGTCAATCTTGCACGTGCGTCCAAAGTGATCGCGGCGGCTGTATCCCGAGAGGCTGTCTATAATTCTTTCATGATCCAAGCCCTTTGGAACGATCCACAGGACTGTGTCCGGCCGCGGTACTCCGACCGTGAATTCGTGTACATGGATGTGAGGTGTATAAAGCGAGATTATCGAGAGAGCCCAGGGTTCCAATCGGAACTACGGTTGGCCGCCTATCGCCCTTTGCTGATTTCAGATCAGAAGGAGCTGCAACGAAAGGTCATGTCTTGCCGCTGGTTCAACATTCATCGGTTGGAACGGGTTTTACCGACACTGCTAGCACTGACACTGGATGCCATCCTGTTACAAGAAAAAACCCGGTTTCCCTCCAAAGCCATACAGCGGAGAGAATGGAGCGGTACTTCCACGATGGACGCTTTCCGAGCGCTTCGGGTGCATACGAACGATGGATCGCCAAAACGACTTCGTATCATGGATCAGTTTGCCATTGAGGCCGAATATTCTGTCCCGGAGCACGGGCGAAGTCATATCATTCGACCCGTCCGTGTTTTCTCCCTTCCGGACAAGGCATTACACGGCCCATGGTGTGATGATAGAGTCAACCTCCTAGTTGCCCTGCGCCGTGCGTTTGGGAAAAGGTTTGCCCGTCATGACCTTTCCTACTCCGCCATGCGACAGCAGACTCTTGCTCCGGTTATCTCCGGAATGGCTTGCCTGCAAGGCATTAAAGACGCCATAGCAGAGGGCAACCGTCTCGCCCTGCTGTACCTACTTGATATCAGAGAAAATTTCCGACCAGTGGCGACGAATATCTTGCACCAGACTCTGTTCCCGGATCAATTATTGAAGATGGCAATCCACACGCATACGCCTGACTTTGATATTATTAAGCTTCTCATTCGAGCCAGACCATTTGCTCGAAGCTGCAATTTGGTCAAGTGGACCATTGCCACTAGTCTTCCAGGCAGCGTCAACGAAACTCGGTTACTTTGTTGTCTCCACCAATACAGTGCCGTTGGCAGTAGGAATTCCCTCTGCAGAGCACTCTGGCCGAATCCAGGTTCAGAGCGTTCCCTCTTAGCGGAAGAGCCCTGGTTGTAGATCTAAGTCATACTTTCTACATACGTCCCAGTGTTCAGCGTGTTAATGCATGTTTGGATGGAAATTACTCGTATATAGTACAGATAATACCTAGAGCCATAGCCCACGTGCTAGAATTTAAACTGCAGTCGAGGATCCTTCATAAGTGGTATATTGAAAGACATTCGCCAACCCTAGGTCACCTTTCATAACACCCACCACAATGCAACAAATAAATTCGATTCACCGCGAATTAGGTTTCTCGTTAGATATTGAAGCCTTCAAAAAGGGCCAATAGATAGTTATCCCGTATCACCACCTCATTGATGCCAATCCGAAACAGTTTTGACGTGGAACGCGATCCGGCAAAATGGCCAAGACAAGGAATGTGACACCCCTGCTCTAGTGAGAAGCCCCGATAAGCCGAAAGAATAAAACCCACGTCAGAGGCTGGATCAGTCCAGAGAAATTTTGTGAAGACCCTTAACTCAGAAACAATGTTGTTAATGTTATATTGGATCGTCCGGGGGGTAAGCCAGTCGTTCAGAAGCCTAATCATTTTCATTCTCCCGCCACAAAAATTGCTCCCGTAGATGTTTGATTCGGTTTTGCATTTATGAATCGCAAAGCACATTTGGTACAAGAAATCGAGCTCATCAATGTGTATCTTCTTTTTATAACTACCTTGCGTCGGTGCTTGGGCGACACCGTCAGGTGTGATTGAGGCTGACACGGCCTTCTCAATCGTTTGGCTGCGTGATAGCTTAAATCTGGTGCAGTTCCCCTCCCGCGCTTGGTTGATGCGGGCAGTGCTCGGGGTATGAAAGTATTGGCCTTTGACAGGATCTCGGGATCCGGTCAAGTCCAGAACTTCCCATCCCTCCGGGTTTAAGAGCATCATTTGGAGCTTGAATGGTGCCTTTGGGGAGAGGTAATACGTTATACGGTGATTGACCTGAGAACGGACCATCTGGGAGCAACACGATGAAGCAAGAGAAAAGTTATTCAAGGATCCCGGGGTAAGGTAGGAGAGGACAGAGTCCCATAGCTGTTTCTCTTCTTGTTAGAAGACAGACTTTCTGTTTCAAGGATTAGGCCTACCTCAGGAGGGAGACTGCTTAGTGAGAATGACATCGTATTGCCGCGCAGGATGAAGGCACATTTTGGCCACAAAACTGTTTAGAATGATTGTCTCCCCTTTATACTTCCCGTGCTGTTTCAGCCCCAGTCAGGACGATAGTATAAATGAAATGTAGACGTCATGCGAAACAAGTCTAGGCCAGGTAACTCACAACGCGCGAATAAAGTAGCGTATTCTTGGTATAAAAGACCACCCATCGTTACAATGTGGCGGTCCTGAGAACCGGGATGAGTACTCTTTGAATCAATTATCAAACATTGTGTGAGGGGCAAGCTTAGCGAAAACAAGGGTACATTCGTCCGAAGACATTCAACTAGAAAAGAAAAGGAGACCTTTATCGCCCCCCTCCACTGCCTCTGCAGCTCTGTCCCCAAGGTTGTAATCTCCAGGACCATCGCCCAGTCACGCTTGACCTGCATGCGTCGCATATTGCATGTCAATCGTCGCGAGTTCTCGTCGTCCACGATGCAGACGTGCGCGGTTACAATCATTATACTGCTTCCGCCGCCCTTGCCTAACCATCTGCGCCGCGCTACGAACTAGAGGATTCTACCCATCGCTGAGTAATTGTATCTGGTGCTGCCCAGTTGCAAAGTCTGACAAATGAAGTGGAGAAACTAACGTTAGTTGGGAGGTAGTGAACAACAGCAATGCAAGATTTATTATTGGATTGCCCCGAGTAAACGAATCGTCTACTCTCCCCTGGGATGTCGAAGTGACTTCTCAAACATGGTCAATGGCTCGGTAAATCTAGAAAGGGACCCTTTTCTTTCTGAGTCGGTTCTTCATTTCACATGTCAGACATAGACAATCGCAGTTATTGTCCCCAAAGTAGTCAGCACTGTAATATACCGTAATTTCTGTGTCCTTCGGGATATAACGGTTTGCGACCACGGACATCTGCCGATTGGCACCGACCACTAGATGGGCATTTGGCTTGCAGTCATGATTGATGAAGCGAGCTGGTCCTAGGAAAACCGAGAGTCTCTTTTTGTTGCTCGATTCGACTACGCTGAAATCTTTGCCGATCCGACGAAGATTCTTCTCCTGTTCATCAGTCATACTGACATAGGTTCCGGTCAGGTATGGAATGGTCTGCTGCGCTGTAATCGACCGACGTGCGCGTACGGTGGCTTCATATGGGCGGATATAGCGATTCGTGTAAATGATTTCAAACACGCAATCCGACTTGTATATGTTGATATACTTCTGTAGGTGCTGACAAAAAAGTTTCTTTCCCGCCTGTTCATCCAGACCTGGCATATACCGTTTCAGCAGTGGTAGGGCTATCAAAGTGTCCACAGCCTGTTCCATGCCTCCCTGTTTGATCCGGGAGACAGTATCTCGATCAAGACCACGGAGGGGTGGGTATTTTTCGCGGCTTTTGTTAGTTGTGAAAAGTGCCTAATGGCAAGATCAACTCGGGAAGTCCCATGGGGTCCCAGGATGGAAACATACATTGTCTATGAGCAGGTCCAGAGCGATATCATCAAGCCTGGCTAGTAAATCCGGCGTCAGTGTAACAGGAGAGCGTTTGCGAACTTGATTGCTTGATTTTCTCTCCCTCACTCTCATGCAATATCTTTTCTGCGCCGATCGAGCAGATCTACGCTCTGTTCGCTCTCTGCGTAAACTTGTTTTGCTGTGACGCTGGGAACGATGTGCCGTCTGTTTTCTACCAGACGCTTTGTTCACGCGACGACTCGACCCGTGGGCAGACATTGGTGCTGTGTGCCCGGCTGGTTTATCTCTAGACCGGATGGCCCGTTTATACATGTCCACATATACTACGAACCTCTTACTCCAAAAATGGCCTATAGTCTTGGTAATCGGATGGAGCGATTCCCGAAAAGAGCCTGGGCCGTAGCATGCCCATCGGTCCGCGTGCTGGCTAGTTCGGCCAAGTATAGCCTTTGTCTTCGAGATCTAAATGATGGGCGATTCAACTACGGACAATCGGCTTTTGCAAGATTCAAGTCTATTCCTATCCACGTCATTTTAGACTTGGGTCCCTGAATTAGCATCGGTAGCACCCCCATCGCCCTTGGGACTTGCAGGAAACCCCAGATGCTAGACAGCATGTCATTCTTGCGTTATACCAGACTTGATACGGAACGAGACTGTGCTAGCTCGTAGGAAATTTAGGGTGTATTTTCTTGATCAACCCTTGTCATTGCATCGGTCAGATTTAGCACTCCAAGTGTCTTCCTTTGTGTTTATAAACTGGACTATGGCCGTGTGGGGAGTATTCAGAAACAATTGGCACCACGCAGCTCTATAGACCACCTAGTGGGAGGACAGGCAACCCCCATGAGCACACAGCAGCTTCATTAGTCCGATGTTGTTTTGCTCTAGCGCAAGGTCGAGCGGTAATTTTCGCTGCCGGTCGGTCACTCCATTTGGCCACGCTTGGTATTCGAGGAGGAGACGTACAGTACCGAGGTCCTCGTTCATTGTTGCAACATACACCGGCAGGAGCCCGTGGAACATATCCGGGACGTCTGACTGGGCCCCACTGTCCAGAAGAAACCGGACTATCTCGAGCGATCGTCCGTTGATCGCAAGCATCAATGGATTGATATAACCTCCAAGGTTGGTTATTGCAAAATCCTGGGCTTTGAATTCGTCGCCGCCGAGGATCCCCTTATGCTGGTGACCGGTGCCATGACGTGCGGAATCATCGAAATCCTTGATAAGATGCGGTATACCGGGTATTTGCTGTACCAGATCCAGACTTCCAGTACGGATTGCATATGTCAGCGCCACGAACTTCTCGTGAGTTGAACTGTAGGAGGCATGTCGGAGCTGGTGATAAGAGCCACGATACGGAAACACAACCAACAAACTGAACAGATCGTATACCCCTAGGCTTGTTGTTATAAGATAAAAGAGTTCGGATGGCAGCTTGTGGAGACTGCTCATTTTTGCCAAGGGAGAGTAATGGCTATAGAGACTAAGGAAGTGCCTCCGTGACATGCTCCATAAATTGGATTAAATATGAATTCCTGCTCCCCACCAACTGCCACCAGCGCTATTCATGACGTATTCATATGTTCGGATTACGCGCTAGCCTACGTATCAGATAGCTACAGTACTGTATAATTCTGCTCTGTGACAAGCGAAAGACTCCTCACTCTTTGTCGATTGTAAAGCAACAGGGCATCTATCTGTCGTGCCATAACTTTTGGTTGAACCTTGTTGCCATGCGTCCAGTCCGGTCTCGCTCGTTTTTTGCAGACAGCTGGTTCATCTAGGGGACCAATGAAAGGAGTCTTTGCAAAAGACAGTGGAAACCTACTAAGGACATACCGCAAAGACTTGTGCAACGCATAGATGTCCTGCTGCTTTACAATCGACAAAGGCAGTGACGACGGTATGCGCGAGGGCCACACTTTCATATTTAGGCACCGCTCATCGATTGGTTACCCTTCGCTTTTGTCGTTCCGCAGTCATTCAAGCATCCTTAGTAAACACATACACCGGTTCCTATATAGGCCGGCTTTCATCACCGGTTCATCTTCTAATATTAGCACAATGAAGTGAGTGACTATTTAGGTCGATTCTCGAATTTTGGCTAGTCAATTTTGTTTGTGCATTGACGATTTTTTTTATTGTCCATAGTAGACACGGCGGGGGAAAGTACCCGCCTTGCGAGCCAATCACATAGCGGACACGATGTTCCCCACCACAAAAATTGGAAAGTGCCCGGCAAATCATTCTTTTAAAGCCTGTCATGGAAATGGACGAGGAAAACCCTGATCGGGCTGATGTTTATTCACCTTCCTATCTCAGAAAAAGGAAACAGACCTTTAAAGATATGTTGAAGTGGTAGATCTAGCGAAAGTACTGCATTAATGGCTCGAGTTGTCTAAATCGCCTCTGGTGGAGATATGCCGTTTCTACTACGTGAGGTTTCGCTATTACACCAGTCTAGTGAGAGGGTAAAATGGGCGGTCCGAGAAAGTTGAATGGGGGGGAAAGTGAGGCGATGGCGATAGTAACAGACTGCCGTACAGTACAGGATCATCCTAACACTCGGATATTGCCCGACTTTTCTCTTTCTCACCAGGTTCTCCACGAATGACGAATATTAGGATCACCATAGTCTACTAATGGGTATGCGAGCGACCCCACTAAGTTGCTAGACTTCCATTGATATAATAAATAATAAAATAATAAAATAATAAAATAATAAAATAATAAAATAATAAAATAATAAAATAATAAAATAATAAAATAATAAAATAACAAATTAATAAATAGAATAAATAGAATAAATAGAATAAATAGAATAAATAGAATAAATAGAATAAATAGAATAAATAAATAGAATACATAGAATACATAGAATACATAGAATAAATAGAATAAATAGAATAAATCACACGAAGGGTGGAGAGCCACTAGACTTCATAGTCTTACAGTATTTTATTGCGCGATGCTCGGCGAGGGTGACCAAAAAGCAGTAGGCAAGTCACCATTTATTGCACTAAATCAATTCGAAAAAGATGTACTTTTCACCACGGGACGAGTCGGAAGGAATAAAGCTGCATTTGGAGGCTTCCGCGTGCGTTGGATAGTGTTCGCTTCCTACGAATTCACGAGGGCTGATTGGCACCGGAACCTCTGGCAGACCGACTTCCTACTAAGCCTGTTATCCTAGCACCGTAGTATATCATATCGCACGACATTTTGTGATCATTTGACAGCAGTCAGGGTATTTAATGAAGAGTAGAAACCTTCAACCTACGCCTAAGTTCTCCTGACAATTCTACATCTACACATTCAAAGCAGCTGTTCGAAATGTTTCACAATCTGAAACCTGCTTTTAAAATCAAAGTGCGTGCATACACTACCTACTTATCCAGGGCATGTAATCACCTTATAAGCCTAGGTGGACATCGGAGACAGCGAGAAGTTGAAGGGGGGCACAACATGCTTTGTATGTCTCTCCCATCCGTCACAGGCCGTACCTGACTAGAAGACTTTGCATGAAGAACATAATCGGAGGCTCTACTGTATCAAGCCTGAGAAAAACTTCTCCTTTTTGGAGTCCACCTCAATCCAGGGAAAACGCGACATTTACCGAGAGCAAAATGTTGCTGCTCAACGTCTCTATCGAAGCAAAGTACGTTATACGGAACCAGACCTATTTGCCTAAAATTGCGCGACAGAGCTATGCTTACCTATATGCAGAGCTAAGAACGACTCGACACCAGGGGAGGGCAGAAATGTGCGTCCAAGACCCAAAGTGGCGATAGGGGACGATTGCTGAATTGATCCTAGATATCTATGCACTGGCGTGGCATTGCTGAAATCGACGAGGTTGTGGAAAGCATTTTAGGGAATACTTTCAAGGGGGAGAAACCAACTTTAATCCAAGTAAGTGTGTATTCGGAGCAGATATATGAGTATCGCTGACGATGATCATTTTGTAGTTACTAGGTTTAAAATTGATGTGAGATACGTTGAACTAGAATCCTATCCGTGAGCGAGGATACTGACATTTGACATAGGTTAAAGGCAAAAATCTAGAGAATCGAATGTTTGTTGGTCTCGGCCAGTTTGTGGTGAAGGGAGAAAACCTAAGCATCATCTATGAGGTGTATGAACGTTGCATTCAGCCCGACCTTTCTCAGTTGACCAAGACAGACTTGGCATAAATGGAGTACATGTAACAGTTTAAGGTGCCATCTATTTTACAGCTACGTAGATATTGGTCGAGCCTAATTCTCGACACAGATATACGAACAAGAGAACTGAACCGGCAATCAGAGTGTCACCTAAAAGCACGAAATAGGGCGGTAAAGGTTGTCAAATTTTCTAGTACATTGAATGACCAACGTCAATAGTCTCCAGGGTAATCGCTCCCAATGACGACAAAATGAGTGTCGATGGTGCGTTCGAAACATCATAATTTTCCCAAAATTCCTCGTACATGATTTCTTCAAGGACGCCGAGGATGGATTTACACGTAGGTGGTAAGTGGCATCAATTATCATGTGCGAATCACTATCTATCAAGAACGATCTGGATATATTGAAGTCATTCTCTCGTTTTGTTGTCTCCTCCATCATGAGTAGATTGGTTGGGACAGGCGGATTCGATTCGAACTCCATTCTCATCCTCTGGTCGGTAAATTTGCGCCGGAAGGTTGGCTCTCGTTATATGATCGGTAGGCCAGTGTTGTACCACAGGCGGTGACAGGTAAAGGGTGTTGTGTTATGGCAGCCGATCATCAATCATCCGAAATCTTATCTTGGATCTAGGAGAATATTTGATCATCGTAATGTATTGTTTCGGATCCATAGCACCATCTGGATCCCAGAAATGGTTGTTCCAGTTCTCAAGTAAACTGGCACCAATTCACCCTGCATCCGTAAGTAGTTATTCGATCGGTAGAAGTGTCCGGCCTCCTGCGTCAGCCAATCTCTTCCAGTCATATGCTCTCGACAGAGAAATATGGTTGTGACATCCCACACCCCGACGGCTTCGCCATACCTCCCTTCATCTGTAGTTATTAACAAGAAACTGGATGACACCATATGTCTTCGGTAAAATCCAATTCGTTCTTCCAGTGGCATTTTGCTAGAGTCTTCGATATCCAGCCCGATGAGGGCATTGTGCATGTTCCGGCTAGCCCATTGCGTTTCCTCCTCTAACTTGGGAAGGTCCATCGGCAAGTTGCAAGTATATAATTTGATAATATACCACTTAGGAGCACTAGAAAAATATGTCTAAAGTGGAAAACTTTTAGTTTTTGACCAGATTGTACTAGAGGACCTGCGTGGCATCACATACCTTTCATCCACACTTTTCATTCAGTTGGGTACGCCTTCGCTGGTCTCCACCTCCTCTATGTACGCGACTTCCAAAGTCGGGATGCTACCACTAAAAAGAGATAGAATAATTCAAGGTGTAAGAAAGTCACTGGGGAAGATTTAACATCATTCCTCTGAATTAAGACCCTATGAAATCGATGAAAGCGGGTGTCTGTCGGTCATGTGACAGGGACTTCATACTTGGTTCCAAGAAGGGTCACCATAGGTACTGGAATTCTCGTTTACTCCTACAATATATCTTACACACGTACTGTAGCATTGGGCTCCTACGAACAAAAGAAGCTGCTCAAAAATTTTCTGGGGAAGCTAGTACTGACCGGTGCTTTTGTCGGATTCTCGATGAAAAGTTCTAGAAGCTCTTCTGATTTCATCATAGTAGCCGCAGGCCTTTAGAGGGAAACTTGGTGTGTATGAGTGTACGCAACGTGATGTTCAATTAATTAATAATTGAGAAGAGATAAAACTATTGTTGTACGCAAGGTAATGTTTGTTCAATGAATGAACAAGAGAGAAAAAGAGTACGGAACTAATATAGTTCCGTTGGAATATGATTGGATAAGTTTTTTGGAGTGAGAACCCCGTGTCAGTTCCACTACCTGTATTTCTTGTTCATGATCTGAACAAACACCACCTTGGGTTCAACTGTAGTTACAAACTCTCAATTATTAATTAATTGAACATTAGCTTGGCTAAAGCGACACTCACTTTTGTAAAGGTCGGGCTTCGGCCCCCCCCCCCCCCCAAAAGGCAGAGCCTGAGCCTCCCGATCCTTATCCATCAACACTAGATGTGTAAATATATATATCTGTCCGCATTACTTGCCTGGACGGACTGTCCACCAACAAGTTTATTGTTTGAACTTTTGCCACTTCGGAGAAATCTTTTCTTTATCCGACCATTTGATCGTCATTTTTTTCAAGTCAACTGCAAATTCAAGCCATATTACCCATGGCTTCTTCGAAACTGCGCCAACGTACCGGCGACCCATACTGGCTTCATAGCTTCCTCCAACAAACGCCAACCAGCGTTCCAACTCATTCTGCTGCGTATCACTCAAAGAACACGTGAGAACCGACGTGTCGTGCTCACCAAGTGCCCACGGATAAAGGCAATACGCCTTATTCCATCCTATCACACAACACATGTGTGTAGCGTACGCGTACCTTAGAACGTCATAACGAGCATTTTTGCATTTACCACCATAGTAGAATGAAATATGGATTTCTGTTCCGCCGTCACGAACAAAACTAACTCCCTGATGTAAGCATCAGCACAGTGAAACCCCGAAGGGGTTATATATCAAACCTCTGAACATCCTTCAAAACATAACGAAGGAGGTATGCTTTTGTATCCTTCGACACTACGAAGGTAACGTACCCAACGTCGCATTTTCAGGCTCTCATAAAAGTATGGATCGACTACGATAATGTCGAGTCTGCCTGACTGCCGTCCTAGAAAATAAGAACGGGCGAACTCGCCCGCAATTACAGCTCCGGTAGCACGGAGCAACAACCTTAGTATGCATGGATCATGCACAAACTTTTCAAGTTTACCATCAATCTTACGTCTCTCTTGAAGAGAGAACGAAACAAGTCCATTCATCGACTTGGATGTCATAGACAACACTTGTAAGTCACGATGTGTCATTACATGACTTAATGCTATCCAAACAGGGGAATAACATAGTACCACGATTTCAAACCTGGAAACCGCCATATATATGGTATGTTCGTACCGAACATATAGTTTATTCAAACACGCCCATTACTTGGGCGGGCGTACTCGCCCTATTTATACCTTTTACCAAGGTTGTATCAGCCTAAAATTATCATTTCATTTCTTAGCGTGAGCACGTGCTGGTTAATAACGCTAGTGTCGGGTATAATAGCACCATACTCGAAGCACCCAAGGCGAAGATTCGCCTGACATTTGAGGTCAACACTCTCTCCCATTTCCACATTGCGAAGGAGTTCTTGCCGGCCATGATCAAAGCCAACCATGGTCACGTGGTGACAGTCGCCAGTACGGCCAGCTTCGTCGCTGTCGGTGGGATGGTCGATTACTAGTGCTCGAAAGCCAGCGTTCTAGCTTTCCACGAGGGTCTACGCCAGGAGCTCAAGTATTCATATTGTGCGCCAAATGTGCGCACTAGGTGAGTCGATCATTTGACTACTTCTATCGACTTCTTGACTCAAATATTTAGCATTATTCACCCAACCTGGGTTCATACCCCTTGATCAAGGCCTTGACCGAGAACGAAGGTAATTTCAGCAGGCGTATTCTCACTTGCCAGGTGGTCTCTACCGCCATTTGTGAGCAGATTCTGAAGCACCACGGTGGGCAGGTTATTGTGCCTGGCTACCAATCCCCAATATCCCTCGTGCGAGGTATGCCTACTTGGATTCCAGAATGTGTGCGCACATACGCCTCCAACTCTTTGAAGAGAATACGCAATCCTCAGGATTCTGCTCAGGATGTGCAGTAGGAATCAATCGACACGATGGCCCAGCGCTTGCATGTAAATACAATGCATAGTTGTACTGACGTCACCTGCTATACTATATGTTATACTTCACCTCTCTGATACACATAATCTGGTCTCGGGAGCAGAGGGAGATTCCAATCTAGTACTGGATGAAGTCCTCGTGATTTATGGGCCTCATCAATTGCCCACCGGCTTCGAAACATCACATGAACTATACTACTAGTCCGTGAGACATTATAAGAAAACATTGTAAGCATAGAAGTCTGGTTTGTTTGGTTGGTCTTGTCGTCGTTCTCGAATTATAAGGTGTCAAATGAAGAACGCTGGCGGCTGACGTAGTCGATTATAAAATCTTGTTCGATAGCGAAGTTCCGACTCTGCCTTTGTGACACTACACAGAAAAAGGGAGGCAGAAGCTGAGAGTGGGAGGTGACATTTCTCCGTGGGGCAACAGTTGAAAATGACGAGTTGAGTACGTCCCTTGGCTAGTCTCTTCAACTCCCACTCGATAACTTAGATGTCATGGCAACGCATATGACTCGGATAGTATTATATTGGAAGAATTAACACATAACTTTGCAGATATATACAAAGTAAATCGAAAGGATCACGTGATCTTGGCAAACCTGACAGAGAGCATGTCCGACCGCGAGGAGATAAACTAGTCGCATTAAGTTCGTACTTGACCCACCTGGGAAAGAAACAACTGCGTGTACGAGATGAGCTCTTTTTAATGTTGTTCTATTTTAAGCCGATCTCCGGCTTGGATCGGTCTAAATGGTTTTAATCTCGCTGAACGGCTCAGAATTAAGTGGTACTCGCGGGCCGTGGAAATGGACCACTCTATTTAGGGATGCTAAGAGGACCACTTACAGAGCGCTGCGAGGTTATTTCCGAAATAAGTCTTTTTGGATCTGCTCAGGAAATCGGACACCGCGCGATGAGAGTATAAGATCCGCGGGTTCCCAAGTCGAATACCAGTATCACGCATAGCCCTTGTCCAGGAAGCCATGAAGGGAGCCAAATGTGTGATTTTTGTCGCAGATCTTGCAACGGCGGCAGTCCTGAATGGGCATCACCGTCGCCACGACTCTCATCATGATCACGCTCTTCATTATTACAGCCTCCACAGGCACCCGCCATTCCACATCGCGAAGATTGAGAATATAAACAGAAAAACTACCCAAATACATCCCACTTCTCTTGATTCTGCTGATGATGCTAACATGGGTTATACAGACAGTGCGTACCATATAGCGGGTAACCTTACGACCCTCCCGTCCTCCCAAACGTCGACTACCGATACGAATCTGTTAGGTATCAGCGGCGAGGACCAATACGGTATGTCGTATACCCCATACACTCAGGATGGAGGTTGTAAAAGTAAGCGCGAAGTGTTGGCGGACCTAAACGTGATCACGAATAAAGGGTTTGACCGTGTTCGTTTTACTCTACTGACTGTAGTGCGCTTTCACATATCGGCGAGGCGTGTAAGAACGATGGTTGCCATATAATTTTAGGGATTTACATTGACCAAACAGGGATCGCTGCCGCTGAGAAGCAAGTTCAGGAAATCGCATACTGGGCGAAGTGGGACCTGGTTGACCTGATTGTCGTGGGAAATGAGGCCGTTCACAACCGTTTCTGTGATGCGCCGGCGCTAGCGGCATTTATTAGAAGTACCAAAGCGACTTTAAAGGCCCACGGGTACAACGGAAAGGTGACAACTGCCGAACCGGTCAACGTGTGGCAGATGTATGGGGCCTCCCATCTCTGCGCCGAGGTCGACCTAGTCGGAGCAAACATCCATCCGTATTTTAATCCCACAGTGGAAGCTGCTAAGGCGGGAGAGTTTGTTGTATCTCAGATCGACGAACTTAGCAGGATCTGCATGGACCAAGAGGTGATAAACCTAGAGACTGGCTGGCCAAACGCCGGCGTGGCCAACGGCGCCGCGGTTCCTGGAGAAGAAGAGCAGGTTACTGCGATAAGGGCTATTGCCAAGGCCGCAGGCGCACGTTGTGTCTTCTTCTCGTATGCTAATAATCTTTGGAAGTCGCCGGGCGACTTCGACGTGGAGCAACACTGGGGATGTGGTGACGTCTTCTAATGGTCGGGGAAGCAACATTGGCACAGTCCGGGTAAGGTCTTCTGCGCTTGCCTTGTAAATGCTGAGCGGTTTTTAATTTAGCGATTGTAGTTGAGATATAGTAAATAGATAGATAGATTTGTAAACCAGTCCGTCTGTGCGCGCATGGCTCGGTACCCATACTTTGTTTCTTGGCCAAGGGATGGGCTAAGGATGGACCGAGGTATTGAGGGCACTCAGGTAAGCCAGTGTCGTGATCTCTCAAGCCATACTGACTATGTTTGCAGTAGCGTGGTGGAAAGTCAACTGTGGATTTAAGTGCGGATAATTGACGACTGGGCAGAATTGCAGCGATACATTCATTGCATAGCCCGTCTCACCCGTGGTCACACACCTAACTAGCTTGAGTTTTGCTGATTGGGACCGCACATTATTTTCAATGCAGCAACTCCGAGCTTGGTCATATTTCTATTTGCTTACAGAGAGAGACTGTTCTTTATCGTATGCGAACATTATAAGTTCTAGTTTCCGTGCTGTGGACGTTCAGTAGATTGAAGAACGGCAACTACAGCCTGGGGCAAACGATTCCTATTGGCATCACCATGCGAATATTTCATGATACCGGAGGACCGTGCTACGGAGAACAGCTTAGAAATTAGACTACCCTTTTCAAGATTAAATGCTTCGGAAATAGGTGTAATTCAATGTACATTGTTCGACATCTCCAATTGGTCAGACAAAATACTGCATTTCACTGGATCCAGCACGGCTGGTCAGACATGTCGACCAGCACCGTCCTAATGAGGATGACGCGTTAATTTAAAAACGGAAAGAAAGAAACAGAAGAGAAGAAAAAAGGCCCGAACAACCCAGAATAGAATGAGCCTGTCTTGTTCCGTCGTCCCTGGTGCTCTACTCCTGACCTACGAGAGGATCTACATGTAGTAGCTGTGGTTTTTGCTAGCCCCTTTCAATGAGCCCCTTTTTGATCGCCTTGAGCGTTTGATTACGTCTTCTAGTCTTATTGTAAAACCGAAGCCCGATATCCCCATCCCGGGGAAATGCTGCCTCAGGAATCTCGCAACCGCCGACCAAAGAACTCCCACTACTCTGGGATCATAAGCCTAGTTTTGTGGTCTTCCTATGTCTTCATTTTGTTACTTTGACTTGAATATCTCATAAATATTTTTGGACTTTTGGCTTGTAGTGAGAATTGGGACATGGAAACGTGGGTGCAGCGGTGCAGGATTCCTCATTTTTCGCGGATAAAAGTGTGTATCATTTCCTGCAGTGGACTGCCAAATAGCTTCAATCATACGGTTTAACAGCCCTATTAGGGAACAGTCAATTTTGCGTAGGTCCATTTCTTCCGATGGAGAAGCCTTCTTCTTGCTTCCATAGCTGGCAAATGCGCTCGCGGTTATGCGTTCTAGATTGTACTTCAAACACCTGCAAATCTCTCTTCAGCGTAAACCTCTCACCTTCGATAACTCAATCTTAGCAATAAGGCTAAGACTGCAATGGAGTCTGGATTAACGTATTTACCTCTATTACACAAAATTACGAACCCAGAAAGGACAGATTATCTACACAGGTTTATTAATTATAAGCGTACAAAGCTATACAGAGTGGTGAACTGGGAGAGTAATGAAATGGAGGACAGAGCTCAGTGATGTCTTCCTCGAAACGGTCAAACCAATTATAGATGCACTGTATTCCACATGCGCTTCTGCATTGGAAAGAGATATAAAAGAATTTCCCACCATAGTCTAACTCCCACTTGATCTATCCATAACATATATTTTACCCAAGCCTCCGAATCATGCGTCTTGATACCCCTTTGGTCCTCGGACTAGCCACATCTGTGTCTGCTTTGTGGTCAATTACTTACTATACCACAATGAATCTTCTTGTTTTTACTATATGCATGTACCAGACAGACTTTGAATATTGAGATTGGAGGTGGAGCCAAACTTAAACTCTCAGAGACAATCCAGATGTCACCTTTCTGGCTGGCATACTCGTTTTCCCTCGGAAAGTCCGTTCTTGTACGTGTATCGAGAGCGTAGGGTCTTAAAATCCACAATGGAAGAATATGCAGATTGTAATTCAGCTGCCATAATAGGCCGCAGTTTATGAATGCGATTCCTCTCATCTCACGTGGTACACAGTAGGATCTCGAAAATAGCCCTAGTTACTGACGAATCTTCGTCGCGTACCGGAGACCGCATTAGCTCAGTGGTAAACAGATCTATAGACAACGTCAAGCCTGAATGTGACCTAGTTAATTTTCTTTACCGAGCGAGAAACAAATTGTGAGTTTTTTTGTGGCAAAGCCGTTTCGATATCCACTGCAAAGGGCTTCGGGCTTTGACAGGACTAGAGGGGTGAGGTGTACGAGGAAACAGCCCACAATTAGATTGATCGTGCTCGCCGTTATCACATATCCCCCGCCCTCTTGGGATTGTGTAATTAGCATAGCACCAGCCCATCATACATCTTCATATATCTAGGTACTTCAAGCTGCTACTGCGCTAGATGAGCGATCTGTTGTCTGGGGCTAAGAAGGTGCGATCGGCTTCAGAGAACAGCAGAATGGTTTAAGGGGAGATTCGTCTACTATGTTCAAGGAAGGATCCTGAGGTCTCTGATCCCTATAGTCCCAATGCCATTCTATAACGGGCGATCTAACACGCTCCACACCGTGCCAGGGTGGTGGACACAGAGCAAGCAAACTATCGCTGTTAGATTTCCCGTCCCTGGCTCACCAAATACATTAGATCCGTTAGTGCTAGACTTGTCTGTCCCTGCATTAAAGCGCACATATATCAACGGGTTTCTCCCCTCCCCAATCTCTGCCGCACTGATGTAAAATTCCCCCAGGTAACCGTCATTTGCTGCTCAAGATGAGCCACGATCGGGTCTTGCAATGGCCTGAGGACGGCTGGACCGGGGTGCTCAACTTTGAAGAGAGTCCGTCTCAACCGTTTCGACACCTAGGCTCTCCTACCAGTGTCGGTAATCCAGGAAATCTTCCACTCTGTCTAGAAAACCCCTTCTTGCCCGATGACGACATATCCGATCATTTTGACCCGTACAACATGTATTTAGAGCTTCCGTCTCTATCGTTCTCAACAACTCAAACCCCTGAATTTCGCGATACTGTGAGTGTAACCTCCAGAGGATCCCGGGTATACATCTAACGACCACGGCTTCCTTCGCGCTAGTATCTACTACAACCATCTAATTCTTTTATGAGCGACACGGCGCATCTGTGGCTCGGCCCTGATATTTTGCTATCTACGGCCTCGGCAGAAGACGTCTTTACGTATATCAAGCAAACTTTCGACTTTGACTGGATCAGCTGGCTAGAGCTTGATTTCACCTTCTCCGTGGAAAGCGTGACAGGAATCCCGCTGTCCCGGAACTGCATTCGATTCCTCTCCGAGGCCAATGGTCTCAAATCCAAGCGCCCGAGCGCTAGTCTTGAAGATGTCCGCCGGGATATTCTCGATTCTTTCTCGAAGGGGGGTTGGCACTCCATACAATTGATTCTCAGGGTACGGAGAGACTTGGCTTCTATGATATAGTCCTACTTTCAACTGGGACGTCACCTGTCAGTATAGACACGTCGACGTTGGTACATTGACATCTTCTGGGTGATAGGAATAGGAACAGGACTCTATGCATTTTTCTATAAGATGTGATGACTTCTTCGCATTTTGATTACTAAAATGACTTCAGGGCATCTTGGTAGTAGCAATATATCTGGAGAGAATAACTGCGCTCTACAGTATATCAACCCTGCGTTTCGTTGCCGCCCATGGGTGCAGTGGATGATGCGGGTTACGGGCAACCAATCATAATTTTGTCCGCAATTTATTTTGGCCGCGTCGTAGTTCAAATTGGAATTTTAGACCCACTTGGTCGAAGAAAAAAGAGATTATTTTTTTATTTCATTTTTTTGGTTTTTCCTTTTTCATTCATTCATTTATTTTATTTTATATTTATATTTTATATTTATATTTTATATTTATATTTTATATTTATATTTTATATTTATATTTTATATTTATATTTTATATTTATATTTTATATTTATATTTTATATTTATATTTTATATTTATATTTTATATTTATATTTTATATTTATATTTTATATGGAATTCTGATAATCAAGATCCACTAGACTAGACTAATTGCGTTCGTCCTTTCCTTCGATTCCTAGCTTCCATGTCTAGGGTACCTCCCCCATGATCAAGACTGCCAGCACTGGTCCGAGGAGTGACTAATCAGTGCCCCCGCTTGTCGTACATATACAATCTAAAATGAATTCAAATATTTAGCAGCACACATTCTCGCTATGGCCTAAGGTGATCGTCAAACTTGGGGGCGGTGGGGGGGAGCATTGAGCCATTCTGCTGCTAGAAGTCATGACCACGAGCACGACCAAAGTGGAGACGCCGATTTGCGCTAACACACGGGGTCATTGCGTTTCCCGGTCAAGGGCTGACATAACAGCGTACTGTAAAAACTGGCTCGATAATCTTATTTCCAAAGACAGAAGCAGATATTCCCTCTCACTATGTTACCAACTTTTGGGAATCTAGCTATGTGCTTGATAGCCTCTATCCTACATTCTGAATGCCAACCTACGGCCCCTAATCCAGTGGATAGTCCAATCCTGCAACCAGACAATGCTGTTCGGTCTCGTCAATGTGATCCTGCTGATCGTCCAGTAAGACATGATCATCAAACGAAAGCTGGCTCTTTGTCGCGCGATACAGTCGAGTCCGTTCTTGGATATCAGAATTGCGACTTCTGGATTCAATCTTATGGACCCCCCTATTTACTCTCTGAAACAATCTCTCTGCTATGTTTGACAAGATATGAGCAGCTTCGAAGCTCTATTTTTCAGTGCTTAAGTTCAGCTTTTGCTTCTATGGTCGAAGCCATTGATCGGCATTGCTATCATGTCATGTCAGCACCACGCAGATCCCGACAGATCCACGCATAGATATCCTTACCAGCCGCTCTGAAACTATGGCTCTTTTGGGTTCTCTCGCTGGATTCTGTCGTATCTTGGCTTTCATCTACACAGCCGAAGCTAAGGGCCAATCCGATGTACACCGTCTGTCTGAATACGGATGGCCCGCTGCGAGAAGACTTTGATGTGTGAGCCTTGGCTGTGGTGGATTAGGCCTAATTTAACTCTCGGACCTGTTGATCCCCAAGACATTTCTGTTATGGTTTATTGGCTCCGTAATACGGGTTTATTTTCTCTTAGAATCGGAGTGGGTACCAGGGATAAGTGAAGGTGGGGTTTGACATTCAATGGGGAGGACTTGCCAATTAATAAGGATAATTCAAAGGGGATGGACAGAATCGTACGTATCAGAGATTCTATTGAGTATAAAGTATTCCAAGTGGAAGATAGCAGAAAATCAGAGCCGATATCTCAACTCTGGGCACCTTTGTCTATATCTTGACCGCTCCAATTCCTTCCGTAAGAGATTGTTGCTAAGCACTACTGGCATGATGATGAGCGGTCGCACAGAAACAGCTGTCTAGGGGACTAAACCGACCGACTACATCATTTCTTCCTATATCCATCCGGAAACACTGGAAACATGGCGTGGGGCGCGGAATCTTAGATATGATTGCCTTAGTTAATCCCACGGGCAGATTTGATTCTCGCGACTAGCTCCTCTAGACAGTCTGCCAGATATTCCCGAGAATTGAAGGTGACGATTAAGATGCAAAGCAAAGAGCAAAGAAAGAAGCTAGGATGAATTTGATAAATAAACAGTATAGTCACACATTGTAGAGAAGGCGGCAACCCAAGAAAGGCTAGGTGTAGTTCTCTTGCTTGAACATCCATCACGAGTGGGGGAAGTGACAGAAAACGACATGCGTAGATAGTTAGAAGAGGCAGGTCATTTCGTTTTCTTTTTATATTTTAGGGACTACCCGGGAGGGTAGAAATTGTCTTACCTAACTTCAGGGCCCCTCCCTGACTATAGATCAAAGGGCTATATTTGGCCGCCCTCTCGGTACGTACCATGTACCTTTCACATTCTCTGTCCCTCCCTGCAAGAAGCACTGGCTTTATAGTAAGTAAGATTGATCCGCCAGGTATAGATTTTAAAGCCTCTCACTCCAACAGTCCTTAGAGATGGCTAAGAAGAGATCACCACCACATGGGAACAAATGTGCGATCGGTCCTAGTGCGTCCTACATTGCCAAATATGAGGCCAATTCTTCTGAATGTATTAATCCCGTTGCTAGGTCGGCGATCGAGGTCGCTGTTTGGTCCCGACCGACCATCAAGCGAACTTCTCACGGATGTAGCCCAAAAGGATACCGACACCGGGATACGCCCGAGAAAAGTCGAGAAGCAGAAACTTTACAAACATGGTAAAATCTCACCCTCTTTTCAATCGTTTCGTGCTAGCTTATGCCGGTTTACGTACACAGGGGGCACGGAAGAACTCGAAACTCAGAAGACTGAAAATGCGAAATCAAGTATCGCAGGTCGGATGCTAGAACGCAAGGCCCTGCTTTATCCGACAGTGGAAGATGACTTGTCAAGGGAAAGTAGTACAGGTCACCAGGTGGCTATATCAATGGCAGAGTTGTTAAGTAACCGGCAAAGGGACGGCATAGATGCCCCCTTGAGGGATGCAGCGTCTCCTTCTACCACCCCCGAGAAACAAACTCGGTACTGCGAGGGCGGGCTGGCCGCAACACTCGGAGCGACTGGCCCACTGCCTGACATTGATAGACGGAGCCATGTCTCATCACCGTTCAAGATAGCGAGCCTCGCCTTTGCATCCGACGGGTGTCTGAGCTGTGTATCTACCACCTGCTGGCTTTCGAATTTCAAAGACAACCAAAATCTTGTGTTCCAGCCGTCGTCCCCAGTGCAGGTGCCCTCTACCTTCGATACTGGCATTGATCCCCAACTACTTTTGAAATGCTCCAGTTAGCTCTCGAGTTGAGCATGTTTTGTATCTAAGGTTTCGACTCCCAAACCGATATGAGCACCCAATCACCATTTAACCTAGACCGCATTTTATTCCATCTCACAAAAACTGGCTCGGCGTGGGAACAGCGTGGTAGGCTACATCCAGCTTTCATCATGGCTCAATGCTGACCTCTTTCTCGCTACCCCTAGTATTACGTAGATCATTGGACATACCACATGCTGCAAATTCGGAGTATTGACTCTGGAAATACCTCGAGCCACATTCAGTCCGGAAGTTTTTAGTGGCATCCCTCAGATACTACATGTATTGTCTAGTACAACAATCATGCGAGGGTGGCGCAAGGCATACTGGGGCAGACTTGGCATTGTAACCCTTTTGAATTTGCCAGGGCATGTACGAACAATGTAAGGCATAACCTGGTTGAACCCCGTGTCGAGGTGCCACAGCTGCACCCAACCTGAGGTTCAGGTCAAGCCGATAGGCCGAGGTCGGTATACGCCGTCAAGCTGATCAGGCTTACGTGCCGTCGATATTATCAACAAACATGACTGAATTCTCATAGAAATAGCCGGAATGGAAACCTCATGTGATCAGGGGCTCAACTCTGTCAGATACAAACACAAGAAGCCAAGATCGAAGCGTAAAATATGGATGCAATCAGGGAGCATAGGTGCATCAATGTATGCCCCGACACAGTATACGGCTCCGGTGAACGTTGACTCAGGACTTGAATAGACCCATGGGAGTAGAACCACCCTCCGATGCCGTTAATCAAAGCCATAAAGATATAAGAGGCTGTCAGTCGAGATATACCAGAAAATACAGCGTTGTAGAGCGAGACAATGCATAAAACCAAAGCTCCAAACCCTCCAATCACCAGGACTCGTTCTCTCTTCTCACTTGGCCAGGTTATCAAATAAGTGGCACAGACCACCCCGCCCAGTGTGACTCCCAGGAAAATGGAATTGTTGTTCCCGCTATCAGTAGCCTCTAAAAGCAAGACTGATACAGATGTCCCCCATATGTGAAGAATAATTCCAAGGTGGTCCAGCAGGAAGTAGAAAGAAGGGAGCTGCTTTCCGGAATCCAGCACGTAGTGACAAAAGGCAGAAGTTCCAAAACAAATGAGATTGGCTAAGAGAGAAACCAAAGCTGTGGCCGTATTGCTTCTGGATGAAGGGCACTGAGACACATGGTAGATAAAGCAGAGTAGGATGATACTGCCGCATAAATGGAATCTCGGGTCGACAGAGCCGTTGGTGTGGACGAGTGTGCTTTGGGGCTTCGAAAAGCGATAGCTGGTTTCCATGTCGATAAAATATATTGTCACAGAGGAATTTATGGAATGAGTAATTTATGGCAACTGGTAGGTACAACAAGGCGAAGGCTTTTCGTAATAGAGGTGGTAGAAAGCCTTTAAGCTGGTGGCAGGGCCCGGGTAAAGAAGGCCTTTCCATGGGAGACACACCTTCATTACATTATCATGAAAAGATGATGTCTCAATTTGGACGCTAGTCACGAAATGCGAGTCTATATGTGCTCGAAGTGGAATTATCCAAATAAATCACTCCACGTATTCACTCCCGGCTTTCACATCCATATTGTCCACTTAGTTAGGGCGGAAACAGGGTCTATCGATATGGCAGGGCAGGTTCTTTATTATAGTTTTAATATTAGAATTTAAACTAGAATCTATTCAATAATGTATATCTGCGAGAGCGGTAATGCAGCGTACTGTACGTCAAATGCTTTCTTTATCTGGATATGCGCGTCAGATTGGATTCTCACTTCAAACCTTACAAGGACAAGAATTTGAAAAAAAATTCATATACGCCTGCCAGGGAGGGGTAAGGCTGTCAATACAAGGAAGTTCAGTCGAAAATACATCAGACTAAACTGATAGCTAGTACAATGGCCAGCTCATAACAGCTTTTACCGGCTCGAAGATGCTGAAAAACGGATAGGGCTGGTACGGCACTACAAGTAGAGAAAACTGGTAGTCCATTCCCTGCACTTTCGCAATACCTCAAAGCTGCTGACTAATGGCCCTTCTTTATTGAAATGCCATTGGACCTGTCACTTGTGATGAACCGAGTATGAAAGTCAGATGTGTCGTTTGCGAGACAATATTCTAATCCTTACTGCATCTGAAAAGACCATCTCTTCACGCTTGATAAACATTTGACTCGGACCAGTTAAGCATCTTGTGTTCCCTCTTTCTTTCTGTCGGTAGCTACCTAGTCCCTCAATGCGACTGGAGTGGGTCTTTTTTCATCACCAGTAATCAATTTACACCATACTGCACATAACAAATTCATTCATTCATTTTCTTGTTACAGTAGTAACACGACCAATTACGTACACCGACCTGGAATCCTGGGCTACGTTGGCCTTTTCTAGAATTTCTTTGGAAGGCACACGCTATCAGTTTCATACCATGCCGGAAAGCGCTTTTTGATTTTTCTAAATTTTTTTTCCCGGTTCACAAATGGCCGAAACTGGATAACCTAAAATAGGCCAAAAAAAGGACTGCCTGTCAAGCTCAACGGTGTGCGATTTCTACATCTAGAATTATAGGATTGACTGATACAGCTGATCGTCGTGACTCCTTGCCGTCGTGCTCTTTAGATTTTATGACAAATCAGATATTGAACGACGAGCATGCTACAAAATCCAGAATGGAACCACGGAAAAAGAGTGTATAGCGGTTCTCCCGTTCTGGGGCGGCATGGCCATATCGTCAACGTTGGTCTGGCTGTGGGCAGCTTTGGTTGCCGCCGGAATCTGAAATTTCGCCAAGCCATTGAGGCTTAACCTGCCTCTTTTTAAGATCAATCACGTTCTAGAATTAGCTTGCTCTCCTTCAGATTTAGTGAATATACGGTATTTAATTGGCTAGGAAAGAAATATATCAGGCAAAAGGGAAGGACACATTAATACTCCGTGTGATGGTTCTAGTTCAATTTCGGCAGGCGGAGGTCCATCCACCTTCCAAGTCTAAGGACTAGACTATAGCACGTGAATAGTAACATTCTAGCGATACTGTATTAGTACTTATCAACGGGTTTCGTTAACCAGCGCATCATCCATAGAATACACATGCTAACTTTTGCAAAGTATCCATATGGTCGCTATCAATAGCCCCAATCAAAATAGAGCCGACAAAGACAGAGCCAAACACTATTCAAAAAGACAAAAAAATATGTGGGACGAGATAGTCAGTGATTTCACCTAAGACTCAGCGTTTGTTAATGGTTGCGTGGCCTCATGCTTATTGATCTTCCGGTCTCGTTCAGCGGTAAGCAATGAGCTGCTGCGCTCACGCTTTACCCTAGCAGGAGATTCCAACGAGGCGACTTCATCCCCTCGTTTGTTGACTGTTTCTCTGCATCGGGCTCTACGGAATAACCGGAACGATACTGGGGACGCACAATCCTGTGAAGAGCTATCTTGCGGGCGATTGGTGTGCTGATATTGTTCCCTTGGCGTAGTGAAAAGCCGTGGGTGGTAATTGGTAGCCATGGAACTGTCGGTCATTGCTGCACTAAGTGGTCAGAATTAACAGGTTCTGTACCAAACAGACGATAACTACCACTCTATACCTACCGCGCGGATCCGTCGAGGTGACTTTACCACCCTCCCTCGTTGGCGATTCCTCTGTATCGGACCCTTCAAATAGGTCGTAGAAAGAGTCGAGTGATACCGTGCACGGGTCCACTCCCCTTGGATTGGTGGAAGGCTGCTCTGGATAGTTGACAGTGGGCGGATTGGGATCCAGGATGTTAGGTCCCGTCTTCAGTTGCCCAGCGTTCGAGGTAGGTTCGAACTCGCCTGGTGTGGTGGGCAGGGCGGTCGTGGCAGGGGCGATCGTGCCTCCTGCTATCGAGCAGCTCGTCAGTTCTGCCGCTCCATCCTGCCTCGCCTCCGTTTTTATATTAGAGGGGACCCTGTGTGGTGAACCATTCTCCTCTAACTGTGCTTCGCAGTTTTCAACTGTGAGCCCGTTATGCATTGCTACACCAGAATGTTACAAGAATTAGAGGGTTGTCTAACGGACAGATGCCAGTTACCGTTTTATAGTTGCAGGCTGTAACTCCCTACCCGAATTCGCTACATACGAACTGATTATAGCAGATCTATTTTTACAGGCATTCAAATTTGCCCCTGAAGCTTTTGTATTAGCATCAAAATGCGGGCCTCCCCTGCACGCCCATACCGCGACTAGGCATCATTCCAAGAACCGCTGGAGCTAATCGTCGCTTCTCTCAGATGTTTTAAGAGGATGTAGCTTAGAAGTACATATTAAGGACATTTCTCGCTACTGCGGAGGATATCACGCGAAACATAAGAACAACATCTACCGTATCTTACGAGGAATTAGATTTGGTACCAAAACAGAGTTCTTTGAATGGTTCTATGTGAAGGGAGTAAGTTCGTAGTACCTAGCAATCTAAACTTTCCCACAAGCTTTCACAGGCTCGAACTATGTCCAGGCTGATGACAAATCGTCTGCGAGCAGACGGGTAAGCATACCTTTGTCCCTAAATATTCCCATTGAAAGTTCCGTTTTAGCACTACGAAGGGCTACAGATCTCTCAAATTTATTCACTCTTCAGAGTCTCATCAGGTAACCGGAAACCTGGTGTGCAGATTGGAGTATTTTCTCCATCATAAGGTGAAGAAGGTATGTTTAACGGTCCATGTTGGCGGACCTGGCGTAACGTCCGTAGAAGAACGTACCCCAGTGCGCAGACTACCCAGTCGACCCAGTAAACAGCCAATGCAGCCAGGACAAAACACTCCTGAAAGAAGTCACCGATCAGCCGCGACTCCAGGTAGAAGCTATCCTTTCGCGAAATCTGAAATTGGTGCTTAGAGCTCCCCTCGGGGGTTCCTCCTTCACTGGTTCATCCTGACCGGCCGAATTGCCAAGGATGTTAGTCCCCTTTTGTGTTTCAGGTTGCCCGGTAGTCCCGACAGCTTTGAGATCCCCGTCTGGTGTTGAGTGCTCTTGTCTTGCCTCGCTATTCTCGGGCGAACTGATCTGCGCGGACTCGACATCGTCTGTGCCAGTGTTATCCGGGATGCCTAATTGGTTGCCGTGGATTCCATTCACAGATGTTACCGGAACACCAAACTTGCGGAATGTGTTAGGACGCTCGAAAGAAGACATAGTTGAGCCAAAGAACTATAGAGAATCAGACGTTGTGTAACATATGGTGGGGTAGTTCGAGAGGTCATATATATATCAGCTAAAGAATGGCTCCTGAGCCAGAAATAGCCATGTAGGGATCAAGTGTGGGAATGATCCCCGAAAGCATCCACAGTTCCACTTTCCTATCAAGCTATACCTATTCTAGAAACGTTGTATATCTTGACATAGCTACCTATAATGGCCGACACCTTTCTGAAGCAATTGGAATACCGTACAACATAGCAATTTCTCTTCTTGTTAGAGTTTGGTTTTTCTCGTCGAATTTCATGCGGGTATATTCCCTGCAAATATAGCGAAAACCTCACCAAGCGTGAAAAGGATCCTTCTGTCATACTTCTAGGCCGCATGACCTTGGTAAATACAAATGTTCTAGAAAATAATCTATAAGGTAAAATAATTGTTCTAGTACACATCAATGTAACTTTTGTTTGTTCACGTGGCGGATGCCACCGGATTGGTGATTATTATACTCTGCCAGCCTAAAATCCTGGACGTATCTCCAGACTGATTTGGGCGATATGGAATGTGATCTTCTCAATATTTGGTAATATGTAATAGCAACGTGCTGATTCAGCAATTGGCGCCTACAGGTAAAATTCATCTCCGCTCTATTGGCCCTTAGTGTACCGAATATAAAACTCCCCTTGTAAGTTATTGATCGGCGACACAGGGGCACGCCTGATCCTCTACACGAGACTCATAACATCATGCTTAACATATCCAGTGATAAACCGCATTTGAGATTCGGAGATAGCCGAAGGTCCCGGTAATTTAAAGGAAAGGCGCCGACCACATGGAAGACCTAAGTCATGTGTGGAAGACCTTAGGATGTAATCATGTTTATCACGGTTTCACGTTGACAGCCTTCACACGCGTACAAGCGATACATTCGATCTTGTTCTCGGCGGTATTTATTTACGATCCAGGATAACATGAGCGATATAGCGGATACAACCAATGTCATCAATGGAACCCATGGGCTTAAGATGACCTCTACAGCTTTTACAGCGTGTATAATCAATATCATCAGTACATGAGAAAGACGATCAGGGGTAGTAAATAATGGCAAGAGGTCCTTGGTAGGGGTGTTTCCGGGGGTATCATTTGCCTTCGATGATGACAAGCCGCCGTTGTTTGGCTTATCTGGAAAGAGCGATTTGGTACAGGAGATGCCGGACTCCTTTTTTGCTCTCTGTTGGTCCTGGCCTGGGGTCTCCCCGGGGGAGCCGTTTGTATTGTCTTGTAGCTCCTGCCCGAGCGAGGTGCTACTGGGGATGTCGGAACCTTCTTCTGTACCGATAGGGTTAACGTCCGCAACCGGTGTCTTCTCCATGGGTTCGACGGCACTAGGCCAACTCATATCCATGGCGTCGGTATCGTCTGAAGAGGGCATTTGCTGTGTACCACTTTCAACCTTGATTCTCAATTCTTCGCCATGGGGGGTAAAAGCTAGTGAGTACTTCGGTTGGTCGTTAGGGGTCTCCGGGATGTCCTTGGTATTGTAATTCACATGCCCGTTCTGGCCGTGCGAGTTGGTAATGGAATTGTTAGATCCTTCATTTGTGGCATCACAAACCTTTATATCGGTGTCATATTTACTGTTCAAGGTTTTTTGCCTTTTACCAACATGTACCGATTCCTCGTCCAATTCCACGTTACTACCTCGCTTCCCAGAGAATTTATAGGCTTTGTCATTCTCGATGCCAAACATAGTTGCGCCAACGGAACTATGGAGAATCAGAAATGTGCAACACACACAAGAGGTTGATATTCTGTCACGTACCCAGCAAGGTTTATATATCTACTATCCCAGTATAAAAAGGATTGCGAGCTGAAAATGGCCACATAGTGATCGAGTCAAAATTATTTGCGAAAGCATCCATATTAACACCTGGGATGTCCCAGGCTACAAATAAAAGTGCTTCCTTCTCAAATGTGGACGTCTACACCCTTATGGATGCCTCAAGAATTCACTCTGTTAACTTTTAATGAAAATTCGCTTTTGGACGTAATCTTGAGACCAGTTAGCCATGTCGCCATCAGAAAAGAACCTGTCGGGACATATACTCCCGTCAGAATAAGCAAAGACAGGTTGTACGTAATCTTGCTAAGCAACGGCTCCCGCCGTATGGATTCAGGGGTATTGGGCCTTGACCTAGGAGGATACACATCTATTTTACATGAATCAAATTGGCTTTTCCTTTGGAAGCATAACCACAGTACACAGTACCTAGTTGGTGATACCAACAGAACCATTTCCGGTGAAACCCTTGCCTGGAAAGGCAGGCTATGTCTAAGCTGTCGCATTTTATTTCAATAACCCTTGTTTGGTCGAAATATATAACTCGCTTAGCACAACTGCACCATACATGTACCCATGACTGACTGATAGAGAGTACGACATTTTAAATCACTTATTCTACGCATTCCTTACCTTTTTGGTCTTTCAAAACGAAAATAGTTATCTAAAATAGTTGGAAGTGGATTGTCTGCCCTTATCAAGTGTTGGGGAAAAAAAAAAAAGCTGAAACCTAGAGATATTAAAGGTAATGCCACTATATACAGCGAACTTCAATTGCAGTAGCTTCTGAAGTAAGGTTACATGCTCTTGGGGTACAACTACCACACAGCCCGAAACGCCGAAGCAGTCGCCATACCACAGCTTTCGCTTTGCAAGTCAGGGCCCTGGTTCCGTACTGCTATTGCGAGCAGCCGGTCGTTCAGTGTGGTCTGCCGTCTCCTATTGCGTTTGTTGCTGAATTTTCTTTTAGCCTCCCAGCGATCAGCGCGTGAAGCACGCTGAGTGTGTAGATGGATGGGCTCGTCGGCCTGAGACATTAAATTGTGATCTAACATCCGTTCAACATTGCTGACATGGTGAATCTCGATAGACGGAGAAGGCGGCGGTGATGCTGGTCGGATGGACTGGGCAGTGGTGTCCCGCACTCTAATGCCTTCCTCTGCCTCGTACAGTTGTCGCGCGTACTTGGTACCCTCCCACTGGCATAGCTTGTTGATCTCCAACTCACTCAGGTTGAATCGATCAAATACTTGGAATAACCTGCGATGCCATTGAAACCGGCTCAGTCGCATACGATGTGGTGGATAAGAATAGTCCAGCCCGGGGTATCGTGCTTCGATACTTTCCAACGAACCGTAGAACTGTATTATTTCGACGCGTATCTCGGGAACTAGGTATTGCCTAATCAAATCGTCGATTGACTTTGCTTTGTGTGTCAGAGAACGAGTGAAGGTCGCTTCAAACACGGCCTCGGCCCACGAGGACTTGCGCATGTTCCGGGAGAACCTTGGAGCAGAGGGTAAGCGTCGGGACTGTATGTATGGAAGAAGCCTTCCAGTTTATTTATGGTCTCGCACCGTGCGCTTTACTTAAACGAGATGAAAACCTCCTGGAATAGCTCAAGCTGGAACAAGTTTCGAGGGACAGGTTGGGTGGCTTTCCGACGACTTGGGTCTCTGAGCGTTGTGGATTGAACGGTTCAGTGACGGACCCTAATAAGCTGAATAGTTTGAGCTCAGCCCACGGCGGGAATTGCAGATATCCACAGTCAGCTAGCAGAAATAGCTTCTAGCACTCTATCAAGTCTACGATATTGCTATATTTGGACCTTTGAAAGCTAGAGACCAAAGCTCAAAATAGAAACACGCTAGTGGGGGATACGCCGGTTATATCCATGCAGCAAGTATTGCTTTGTCAGATGACATTTTGCATTTACCTGGAGGATTCCATGAGAAGCTTCCTAGGGAAGGAGATAGGAAAGAAATGAAGGCTCTCGATGGTTCATCTATAGAAGAACCTTCCGTCTCATCCTCACTCGTTGCCTTTTTTGAGTTCAATACTATGACTGACTTGTACTTTGCCTATCCTTAGTAAGATAACTACTCAAAACTCGCAACTACTTGTACTTTGGGACATAACATACTATTCGAATTGCAAGATCTATATCTTAACAAGCCACATAGACGTAGACGTAAGTAGGGCATAAACTTTGCGAACTGTCGAAGAAGCAAATATCGGGGCGCATTGCGCTCCTGTAAGTTGGAGCAGTTCATTTTTGTAGTTGCGGAAACGGATCATAGCTGATGACTGGGGCTGAAGCAGGTTAGGAAAAAACAGGGTAGGGGTAATACTCCGCTAGCCAGCCGCATCTAGGCACCTCATAAATCAATTGCAATATACGCGGGGCCAGTACCAATTCGAGATCACTTTCTTGACACTCTCTTTCGTTGCTAGTGCTGCGGCATCTCTGACTTGAGTATCGATATTTTTGAGATCGTCCACCACAGCCTGGGCCTGCTTGATGAGAGACTCAGGCCAGCTAGATTCAATCTCCGTTCGACTCTTCGTTACTAGTTCTGCCGTGATTCGGGATTTAATGGTTTCATATCCAACGGATATCCTTTGATGGAAGGCTTCCAGTATCGCCCTTGTAGAATGGGGATCACCCCCACACACCACTTCCCTAAGAGGCGATAACCCGTGCTGGTTCACAAAGAGAGCGTTGGCCCCTTTCTCTAATAGGATCTCAATCGCCCATTCACGTCGGAGTAGTCTAGGTTCGCACGCTATCCAAAGCAAGGGCGTCCTGTCAGTCTCGGAATCACGAGCCTCGATATTTGCACCCCCTTGGAGGAGCATCTCAACACGTTCTTTTGTTCTCCGCCTGAAGACCGTACTAGAAAGCTTTCCCTGACAACCAAGGTAGTTGTGTGCAACCTGGAGAACTGCGTGTACTAGGAGAGGACATCCAACGTGTGGGGCGCCCGGGTACCGTATATTGACGTCGAATCCAGCTTTGACAAACGTGTCAAAGCATTTCGGCTCGATGATCCCCGGCCAAGACGGCTTGGCGGCCTGAAGGAATGCACTTTGATGTTCTTTACGTTCCGGCTGAAGTTGAAGTCCATGCTCAATTAGTAGGTTGAACGTCTCTGGCCCTGCCGAGACCGCCCAAAAAAGGATATCTTCCGGTGGGTCGCTCAAACAAAAAGGAGGTCCTAGACCGTGGTCGAGAAGTAATCGGGCGCATTCGGGTTGTCCCTCGAGTATGGCTGCATGAAAAGGGGAGCCAGCGAACGGATCCACGACATACGTTGAGCACTCTCCGTGCTCGAGTAAAAGTTCCACAATATCGTGACAGCCTGCGCTTATGGCCTCAAGGAGGGGAGTGCGTCCGGGAAGACTGGAACGGCCGTTATTGCCGTCAGGATGCGCACCGTACCGAAGCAACACCTTTGCCGCCTCGACTTGGTGGTATCGGGCAGCCACATCAAGAGGATGAGGGAGATAATGTTCGAACCAGCCGGGTGAATATTCATCAGGACCCCTTGAGTAATCACCGAGAACACCATATCGCTTGATTATCTTCTTCATAAGGGCTATGTTACCTCTTGCTATAGCCCCATGGAAAAGAGCCCAACGATTTCGCCAATTAGATGCAATGGTCCTATCGACATCAATCCATCCCAATATCCACTTCTCTTGCTCGCGGCATTGCCGCGTCGGCTCGGAGAATACTTCTAGGACATGTTCTATATCCAGTTCCGATGGGTCGGATCCGCTCTCCTGGAGAAGTGCCGCGGCCGGAAGATTTCCACAGCGCACAGCCTCTAAGAGTGGGTGAATGCGAGTCACTACGTGCGCAGGGTTTAGCTCCGCACCGCCACTGATCAATAGCCGTAAGATCTCGAGGTTCCGGCTTGAGGGGCGCACGGCAGTGACGGCCTGGGTGAGAGGGGAGGAGGTTGATAGGTGACTACCATCCGTCGGTCTTACACCAAGGTCGAGTAAGAGCCTGACAATTGATGGGTCATGGCAGCGCCAGCCTACCGCTAGATCCAAGGGCCTAGCAGTGTACACGAGCTGGCGGTAAAAGTCATCGTCGGGCTTGAATCCTATGAGCGACTTGATCACCATTTTATAGCGCCGGTGGATTGCAATTTCCAATGCCTTTGAAAAAGCGTATGCTAGGTTTGGATGCTTGTTCCAGTTATGGGAGGGACCCGGTGGATTGGCTTTGTGTTCCCTTTCTAGGAACCTCTGGACAAGATGGGCATATCCGTGATTTGCAGCAGCCATGATGGCTTCTCCGTAATTTTCTAACCCGAAATCCTTTGCACGCATCACTCTCTTCACGGCTGCCAGATCTCCAAGACTCATCGCCCGAATTAGCACCTCCATTTGCTGTCCGTGTCGAATAATATGTTGATAGAATCGAGAGCTGAACACATGGTGAAAGTCTCTGTTCACCCGCAATAACACACTTCGGTCACCAAGATACTGCAGATGGGAGTAAATTTCAAATAGCAACTCATTAGGTAGATCCAGAATGTGCCGCCCTCTCTGGCTATTGTGTAGACTATTGTCATTTGGAACTAAAAGGCCCCCGTGGTCCTTGCTATTGGAATCTGAAGCAGTGACTTCATTTAAAATACTTTGCAGGTAGTCAATAGGGCTAGGTATATTCATGCTGTGTTGATCAGTACAAGAGAAGTGATAGTTTGAATAAGATGGACTGCTTCAAATCCCGGCTATACGTAGCGGAGATTAGGACCAAGAGCACAGGAATGCATGGCAAGACGCGCAGGCTCACTGAAGCGAATTCAGGCGAGTGATAGATTACCTTTTACAATATACTGAGCCTTACAGAGGCTAATGCCTCAGCATAGGCTCGATTTAGAAAGGCTGGAAGTGTCCATAATTAGATAAGATGCCCAGAGGAAGCGGTACTTTATATAATTCTGAAATGACCGGTTGAGGAGTCAATAAACTGGGACTTGTCCTTTTATAGACTGCGGACAGTCCTTTACTAAGTGACGAAAAGTTTTGGAACATACCTTAAGATACTGGAGAGGAAACTTTGAAGACTGTTCTTGGCGCAGTTAATAAAAGGTGGGATCGGAAAGTTCTTTATCAATCAATCAATCAAAGTCAATCAAAGTTCTATTAACCTGTTGTAGCCTAACTAGTATCGTAATGGCTATGCAGGCGCTTCTATCCGGTTGAAGCAAGAACTCGTGTCCGTACGCCTGATCATGCTCCAGTACAAAAATGAGGCTGGTTCTCAAGGAGTGGAAGCACCAGCCCGTACATGTAAGCCAAACCCATATAAATCGCAGTACAAATGAGAAATTCAACGCTAATAAGCATGAATACAAAATGAATGCGTGGATGCACCTCCACCTCTCCAATGTCCTCTCCTTCTCACGAGACATGTACACACTTCCGCATCAAAGACCCTACCCAGTAAGCACTAGGCAAGATCAGACCCCGTTCTCCGACATCCTCACTTCAGCCTCGATTGCTGTTCGTTGTTGTTTCAGGCCGTTCCGGGGCCAATAGCCTAGTCCGGCAGCGTGTATTCGAATAGCTCATCGAGGTTCTCTCCTCCCTCGTCGGTGTTGGCAAGCATTGGTGAGTGCCCAGCGTCTTCGGGACTCTGCTCCATGACCTCTAGATTCAGGTCTTCAGCTTCATCATCGGACTCTTCTTGATCAGCATGTTGAAACTGAGCAAGAAGACCGGTTTGGTGCATAAATTTGGCAACGTAGCGGGTTGCCAGCGGGTTGCCAGCGGGTTAGAGACAATGTTGTCATAATTAGACATTTCAAATGGTCCAATTGCTCGATGCAACTGGTCAAATAGACGTTTTCTCAATGCTCCGTACGTCTCACATTGAAGCAAGACATGCCTCGGCGTCTGAGATCCTTCTCCACAGGGGCATTTGTCAGACTCCACTTCATTGATCTTATACAGGAAGTGCCGGAGCGCAATGCGCATCGAGCGCATCTGTATCATGATCGATGACCGTGGCTTCGACAAGCATTCGTACAAACGTAGGGTCTTCTTGCTTGGCCACACCACCAAGCGCTTCGTGGGCTGAGCGGTCCTCTCGCTCTCCCACTGCTTCTTCCAGCGGTCCTGGATCCGCTCCCGTACCATTCGCTTGGCAGCGGCAGCGAGTCGGATCGTCGGTTGATCCGCTCCGGTCCCCCCGCTGGTCGCACCTCCCGCACTTTCGAGGGCCGCGCATTTCGCATTGTCGTCGGCAGCTTCATTGCCAGGCACCCCGACGTGAGCGGGGATCCAACGGAGGGTGATATTTGCTAAGAATTGCGACCTGAGGGTCCGTACGTGCGCGTATATCAGTGTGAGCGCGTACTGACCCGACGGTCGTTGTGGGTTCTGCACTGCTTGGATAGCAGCCTGGCTGTCAGAGAATATGATCACTTCTCGAGCCTTTATGGGTGTTGTTTCCTTGTTGTCTTTGATGGCCCTAGCCAATGCCATCTCGATGCCGCTGAGCTCTGCAGCGTACACCGTGGACTGGCTCTCCGTGCCGAGATGTCTGCGGTCGGAGATGACGGTATAACCGTCATGAAAATTGACGGCAGCTGCACCAATGTGGCCTTCGAAGCCACTGCCGTCGGTGTATATCAAGGAAGCTCCACCTTCCTGTGTCGTCTTTTGTTGGATAATAGAGTCATGGGTTGCCAGTGCAGCCTCCGAGGGTTCAATAAAACACGAGACGCGTTTCTCCCAGGGTGGCAGCACAAATGCAACTCTTGATTCCCATTTCTCCGCACAGTCCGTTTTCAGTGGTCCCTTCTTCCAAACCAATGCTTCTAAGGGTGCCCACCCTCCAATGCGCCGTTCCTTCGGCTTCCTAACCATTTTTGCCGATCGGGGGCAGGCCCATTGAGGTCCCGTAAGAATGCGGATCGCGCATTCTTCGATGCTTTGCTGGAGTCGCAATTTCATCGGCAAGAGAAAGAGCTCAATGTCCAATGCAGCTGTAGATATGCTCTTGAATGCGCCGCTAATAAGGATAGCCGCGCGTTTCTGTAATTTCGTGAGCTCATTGACCAAGCGGGTCATTTCCCAAGCTGGTAATGAGCGCGCGGCAGGGCAATACCAGGCAGAGATACCCCATAATGCTTGTGGCACAATGACAGCCTGATAGAGCTTCCGCATGCACATCAAGGATGCGCCCCACGTAGACCCTGATATGCCCCGGAGGGCCTCTAAGCTGCCATTGGCCTTAGCAAGAAGCTTTTTGCGATGCGTGCTAAAATTGAGTTGTTTGTCGAGCCAAATGCCGAGGTATTTGGCTTGTTCTGATGCTTGTATCGGTGCTCCGCCTGGTACTGCCACTGGCATTTGTTCGTGACCACATGGGTCATCGGGGACGGCCCAGACATCATATTCGGAGGGAGGACTCGGAGAGATCGTCTGGGGGGAAGGCTCCATGGCGATACGTGGGTTGCTATAGTGGATTAGCTCGAACTTATCAGGTGCAAACCTTGCTGCATGACGTTTGGCCCACTGGTCAGCTCTCTCAAGAGCTTTTTCAATGAGCCATACGTTTTCTTCGTAGCTATCTGAGATAGCTAGAATGCAGACATCATCCACCCAGCCAAATGCTTCGGTACGGCCGTAGCCAGTGGTCAGAGAGCAGTTCTTGACTAGGGGCGTATTGAATAACAGGAAAAGGATTGGTGAGATCGGGGATCCCTGAGGGATACCGGTGTTGGTCGGGAATTCGTCACTAAGGTGGCCGGGTAGACGGATCCGAGTACTCCGGCCAGTGAGAAAGGCCTTAGTCCACGGGACTAATTCAGAAAGGCCCATTTGACGCATGTTATGAAGAAGACGTTCGTGGGACACGTTGTCGTAGGCTCCAGCGACGTCGAGAAGCAGCATGCTTGCTTTCTTACCACTTCCCCAGGCAGTGTGGACCCGATCGAGGATCAGCTGAATGGCGTGGTCCACAGAGACGCCTTTCCTGCCCCCAAGGTGAGTATCAGGCAACAGCCGGTACTCTTCAACAGCCCAGGCGATTCTAGTAGCTATAATGGCCTCAAGAACCTTGCCAAGCGTATTAAGGAGGGCGACAGGCCTATACGCCTTCGGCAGACGGTAGTCCCGCGGTCCAGCCTTCCTCAGCGTCACTGTGATCGAGGTCTGAAAGTGCCGGGGGTTATGGCCAATGCGTAAGCAAGCGTTAAATATATCGAGAACGGTAGATATGAAGACCCGCTGTGAGGCAGATTCGCCTGCTAGCAGTCTCCACACCTTATTTGGAATGCCGTCAGCTCCAGGAGCTTTGTTTGGAGGTGCTCGCCGTATTGCATCGGTCAGTTCTTGTTTCGTGATAGGTGGGAAGGGAATCGGGGATTTCGTTGAGTTCGTGATGTCTGAGAGATCAGCATCTGGAGGTGTAGGAAAGAAGGCTTCGCGTAAGGCCTGGACCTTCTCATTTGTCGATTCAGCAATGCCATCCGCCGTCTTTAGCGGAGGCATGATGCTGCTTTGTTCCTGGCCCCGATTCCTCGCCCATTTAGACATCCGCCAGAGACCCTGGGGGCCCTGGTTGATGGCTTCCTTGACGAATTCACGGAATCCCGACCTTAGTGCTCTTTTGATGATCCGTCCTTTCTGCCAAGAGACATAAAGTAGCTTCGGCAGGCCTACTTGCATAGACCACTACCCCAGTTTTTCACCCGATAAATGAGGTTTCTGGACTCTTGAGGTGGACAAAGCCTCTCACCCTGGGTGTCTCTCAGTTTGCTCCTTAAGCATACATCACGGGCAAATCACCTAGGACGACACCGCTTCAACCAGGCTAACCTGATCTCTGGCCCTCAGTGCGAGTGAGGTAGTTGATTCCCGACTCTTTGTACACCGACACGCGCATCCGTCCTCTCGGGCCATACAGACAGTCTCTTAACAGGCCCCGACCCTGTCGCAGTGGCTGCCATTGTACACCACGCCCCGCGAGAGCTTAAACTCTCGTTTCGCGTTACCTGGGGAGGTCTCCCCCGCCAGGCCGACCGTGTCTTGCAGAAAGCCCTTGTGTACGCTCCGTCCGGCAGTGTACGTCGGCCACTTTCCACTAACCAAGCTTGTCCCCCGATGCCTGAGCAGGATCGATGGTTTGCCCGTGGCAACGCCTTAACGAGGTCCATCGTTTGCCACCAGCCAACTACCAGTCCCTTCCAGAACGCCCGTGTATCTCCCAGGAGGATGCCCGTGTCTCAGTGTTGTCCGTGTCAAGAAGAGGAGCCGCACCAAAGGTTGCCCGTGGCCAGGCCTTAACGAGGTCTTTTGAGGCGGTCTCTCCGAGCCTTAACGAATTCGAGTCTTAACGAGGTCTCCTGGGCCTTGAACGAGGTCTGTTCGAGATTAGCTTGACTGCCTGTGTCACCGGTTCACTACCGCCTCGCCGCATCTCGCACGATGCGATCCCAGACTGTATGCAAGCTCAGGGGTGTCCTGTCTTCTTTCTAGGGCGACACCACTTCCACTGGTAATGCAAGACCAGCTTCAGGGCCCGAGTGCGAGTCGGGTAAAAAGAAGTCGGATGGTTTTCGTATCCCGTTGTCCCCTGATTTTGGTGTGGTTGTGCGGTCGCTTCCCGCACCGGGCCGAACCGCACAACCACGGCGGATTCAATTTGGTCTCCTCCACGAGGATTAACACCGGACACCACGAGAAGGTATGAATCCATTGTCCCAGCAGCCTGGCTAGGACTGCTGCCCAGTGCGAGCTCACTGGGGGCCGGAAAGTTCTTTAGTCTTTGGTTTATTACTTGATTATGGCTGCTATTTTATGCCTCGAAGTATATCCGGTGGCCTTTGGGAGGCGATTGGTTGGTTGCGTCGTCATTGCATCTTACTAAAGTGCATAAAATACCATCCAGGCCGATTCCATCCATTCGCTGGTTAATAAATATGTGCCTGTTTAAAATGTGCATCTTTGGTTGTAGCATCTTTAAGGCTCGTTCGGTTGGGTGCCTGATGAACAAGCAGGGCACTGCCTATGATTGGTTCACGGCTGGGTCAAGCCACAAGACCCGTCATGACGTACATTGGCATGTGGCAAACAAAAATGAACTTTGGTCGTGCTGATCGTAATAGGAAGTTGCCCAATAAATTGGATGCAATCAACTCTACAATAGATCTACACGCAAGCGCAAAAGAAGCATTATGCTTTTGCTTTCAGATAAGACGCAAACTGGTGCGTCCAGCGATACCATCCTAGCTCGCAGTCTATGGGAAATCATGCTACTTGTATTCAATCTGCAGGATCTGCGAAATCGGGCTCCAGGGGTGCAATGCTACGACTCATTGGGATTTTCATGGTTTAAAATGAACATAACTCTCTTAGTGCAATGAACCTTTTGTCGGAAGCGCACCCATAGGTTGCGGTGGAGCTTCACTAGATCCATGGCGTTCATCAATGTGTTCGAACAGGCGTACGTATATATCAGCTTAATACAAAAACATAGAGAAGAATGCTTGTACAGCTAGCTAGTCTTCTGCGCGAATGGCACGATAGCACTTTTAAAATCTAGCACGTCAAAAAACATCCGCACGAGAAACCTCAAGCGTCACCGGAACCTAGGAGCATAAAGTACCTCGGGAATCTGGATAGAAGAGCCATGATGTCTGTGCTCCTGCTGCCATGGAATAAGAGAGGAAAGCAAGAAAAGAAGTTGCGAAGCCGGGCTAAGGTTGCGGGCGGGGTATAAAGCCCGGCGTTCGGCTTCATCACGATGAGCCTGATGTCTGGTCCTCAAGTCCTCTTCTCCTTTGTATGTCTCCCGTCAACATGGACCCTGCAATTCACGTACCCCTGGCACTTTCTCCTCCCTCCATGCGCCCGGCGCCTACACAATCTGCCGGTGTTACCCACCTCAAGCACCTCATCAACAACTATCTAAGCAACCTCGAATTTGACAGACCAGGAACCCACCATGGCATGGCTTATGCGATTGAAAAAGGCGTCGAAAGCCACTTTGTCAGCCTCCCCTTGGAAAAGGGCATGTGCTTCCCAGTGAGACCCGTCTTCGAAGTAGCTGCGACCTTTGCCCATCAGGCATATACGGGGCTTTCACTTGAGCTCCAGATCCAATGCGCTATTTTGCTTGCCTACATGTTTATAGTGGATGACATTGCGCGGTGTTCCATGAAAGGTCTCGACTCATTTGGCCAAAAGTTAGTTCTCAGTTGCTCCAAGCAAACGCGATTACTCACCTATCTAGATTTTTCGATCAAAGAGACCATGCAGATTACATTCTAAATGGCCTGGATGGACATATCCGAGGGTTGTCGAATCATTACGGTCCTTCCTGCTATTCGCAGATCACCCAGGGCTTAATTGCCTATGTAAACGGGTGTGTGATGGCGGAAGCAAATGCAAAATCCTCCGCCCAAAATTCCCAATCAAGCCTCATGCCGGCGTATCTCCAGTCTAAGGACGGGGGTGCAGAAGTCCTAATTCATCTTCTTTGGCCAAAGGATATCTTTCCTAGCGACAAATCTCCGTTCAGCTATTCGGAAGTGACTCCCAGGCTGATGAGATTCGTAAATTACAGCAAACATATCCTTTCATATTATAGGGAAGGTATTCGTGGCCCGGAACAGCGTAATTTTGTGGACGATTGGGCTAAGCTGCGGGGCTTATCAAGCTTGGAGATCTTGGAGCAATTTGCAAACGGTGGTGTGAAGGTAAGCAAATCTCGTTGGGTGCTTTTCCTATATTAACACCCACCTGATAGGCAATGAAAGAAATAGACGCGTTACCCCTCGACCCGCTGATCGTCGAGCGGGTCCAAATATTTACTAAGGGATGGATCATGCTCGGCATAGCACACCGGGAATACCACCTAGTTGAGCTGTTTCAGGACGAGTACCTATAGCCATACGATGCTTATCACTAGTGCTTATCACGAGAGCTTGGCGGATGACTTCCGACCCCGTCAAAGGCCAACGGCCCTGCTTGCAGATCCGTGTCCTACCTTTTGGTAGATGGTTTTTTTTTTTTTTTTTTTTTTTTTTTTTTTTCCCTCAAGAACGATGTCCTTGCTTACTCAGCATGTTTTCCAGTTAGTTGAACTTGAGTTCTTGATATCGCATTGGTAGTCTTGGTAGTCTCATTATAGGTCGCTCTAATTCTCGTTGGGGGTCCCCATGATATCCTTTCAAACACTCACTGGAATAGGGGGCATCATCAGCTGTTCAGCTAGATTAACCACCTTGAGGGGTAGGGTAAGGGTAAGTAGCGTAGTGGCTTCTTTGGAAGGGGCACCTCGGAATGGTAGATTTTGCCCAAGTATTCGTGACTAAGCCGAACTGGTGTGACCCGAAGGCGGAACCGGATTGAGAACACCAGAGCCACAGCACTGTCGCTTCCACGTAAGGAACCTTGATATAGATCAATGGTGTCGAAGACAGAATTGGACAACGTATATCTCTGTCTGTAGGTATATGACATGTCAAGAACTTCGAAATTCCAAATCTGTGGATTTACAGAGCCAAATCTAGTCTGGCAGTAATCAACGGCACGACGTCAACACCGCTCTGTTGCGTGTAGCGTAGACCCGCGTCTCCAATCAAATCGCGCTTATGGTCATGAAATCTAAAAGCGGAATATGATAAATGTACCTCCCCACTGCTTCCAAGATGAACGATCACCTCGGCCCGTAGCAAGGAATATGCTACTAATATTTGAGTTACATGTATCTGTAGTAAATTTGAACGTTTCGACAAGAGCACCAAGAGATTGCCGTTCTGCTCCTGACCCGTCCCAGTCGACTTAGCTATGGGAATGGTACCCTAGATGTAGAGGCTAAAACTGTAGCCAATGGTAAAGGATCGACTTCATGTACTCGAGAGTGGATACTGAATAAACACAAAGGAATCAGAAAAAATAAAAGTGAAAAATAAAAAAATGAAAAATGAAAAAAAAAAAAAAGAAAAAAAAAACGAAGTGGAAAAGCAAGAAAAGCTCCAAAAAGGAAAAATGGAAGGAAAAATATAGAAAATGAACAAGAGAAGAAAAAAGAAAAATTAATTTCTGTTTTGTTTTCTTTGACCTCGCGGGTCTGACCTTGGGTTTCACCAACGACAGGGGAAGCCGAGAGGTGGGGCGATGTATTTTGGGGCGAAATTATGATTGGTGGACCGAGCCCCGCATCATCTCTCGCTCCCACCAGGAACAAGGAGTGGGTATTGACATAGAGGGCAGATGTTATCTAAATGCATAGCTGATACCAAAATGCGTGATTGTTGCAATAACATGGAAAGATTCTGTTGTCATGTACATGTACGCTGATAGATCACGCAAAGAACCTAGTTGAAATCAGGACTACATTATAGGTGCCAAGTCTGCGGGACACGTAGAATCACTTGTATGGACTGCCAGCCTCCTTTCGACAAAGAATTGAGAATGTCTAGACGGACATCTTCAAGACTAGCGCTCGGGTGCTTGGACTTAAGGCCATTGGTCTCGGGACGCAATCGAATGCGGTTCCAGGGCAGTGGGATTCCTGTGATTAGGGCTCCGAAAGGAATAAATGAATGCGAATATAGGGCATATTCATATTCGCACCCCGCGAATATGAATAAATGAATATCGTATTCGCGCGAATAAGCGCATTATTCATATTCGCATTCATATTATTCATATCATGCATTTTGCGCGCATTAATGGATCTTCCGTTTCCCCGGTTTTTGTATTACAGAAAAACACGTTTCCACTAGCCAACTTGTATTTCAAGTGCGATCACGGCCTCGGTCAAGCATAGTAGAAAATATTTCCCATGCAATCCATGTTCTGAAGTATATACCCTATATTGTAGGGCTCGGTAAGCTCTATATATTCTGCGTCATTATTTTTCGTGATTTTTTATAGGTAAATGTCTAGTTTTGGTGACCAACGGTTGCTACAGAAAGTCGAGCGAAATTATATATACAGTATCTACAAGTCGTCTTTCCACATCTTTGCTGCTCTAGTTAAATCGACTACCATAACTTCTCTTGTTCCCACTCGATCTACTCCAAAGTTTAGATTTATTATAACCATGACTATTGGCACGTAAAAACGCGTTTATCATGCCACCTTAACTCACTTCTCATGCAGGTTACAGATTGTTTACCATGAGAGTCGCGAGTGAGAAACCGCCGCGTGTAAAGAAAAGACCTATCAACTTTCCACTTTACTGGGATTCGCATCAGGCGAAAGCATAGCTAGTGTTTCCCCATCATTGTTTCATTCTCACCGTTCATTTCCGACCCGCCATGCTATCAAGTATTGTCGAGTGATACTAAAGGTGTGCCCCGCCTCGCTCCCAGGTACCACTTGGACTACTAACACTGAGCAAATACAGAATGGCATCCTCACCTAACCCATTTGTGCGAAAGACGCGTGGTCTTCCGCGTCGCGACTACAATGCTCTGAACAATGGCACACCCTCCCTACTCCCTGAGCCATGGGAAGGAAATATTCGTGAAATAGAGAGCCCCTGCTCACCAGCACCATCCGAGTTTACAGAAGGCGAAGAGACGTCCCCATCCGTGCTGTCCTTACCCATTCCCAGGTCTTCGCCCGCACCGCTAGATCCCACGCTATCAGGGTTGACTAGCAGTCAGAGTAGCCCACCGACTTACAAGAGACGAAAAGCCAAGTCATATTCTAGCTGGACCCTCGAGCATTTCTGGATCACAGAGCTAGACAACACCTGGCGTCGAAAGGGTGGGCCACCAAAGAAGGATCGGCTCTTAGTCTGTAGGCAGTGCAGTTGGTCATCCAGGGATTCGGCACGCTATGGCTCCACTTCGAATTTGTTGGCCCATCTCCAGGCTAAGCACCGCATCAGTTCCGGATCAGACATCACGTCATCGTCAACTATCGGAACGACCCTGGACAGTTTTTTGACACCTGCAAAAGAAAGGGCGGGCCTTGAACAAATGCTGATACAATGGGTTGTCCAAACGAGACAGCCGTTTACGGTAGTGGAGCATCCGGCATTTAGGGCACTTTTTGAAGCGACAGGGGCTATATTACCCATCAAGACGGCCGACACTCTCTTCAACAGGATCAAGGAGGAATTTCGCAAAAACCGGACTTGCGTGAAAGAAGAATTAGCCAGTAGTAGTCGCACGCTTGCGCTGTCTCTTGATGTTTGGACATCGGAGAATCAGATAGCGATCATGGGCATCATTGGCCATTGGATCTCACCCGAGTTTGAGAAGCGGGAAGAGCTTCTGGAGTTTACTGACATATGTGGACCGCACTCTGGGGAGAACCTTGCGGAAATTGTGATTAGAATGCTCGAGGAACTAGACGTCGCGCCAAAGCTCCTCACAATTACGGGGGATAATGCTGCCAACAATGGAACTCTCTGCGACAGTCTTCACGCCGAGCTTCTCAAGAACTATGACGATAAAGACGACCAATTTCGCATCAGACCTCTTATGCGGTTTCGTGGACGGCAGAGCTTCATTCCTTGCCTTGCCCACGTCATAAATCTCATTTGCAGGGACGTACTTGCTTCCCTGAGGGCCGGCTCAGCTCGAGAGGCGAAGGTTATACTGGACGACATGGCCACACAAAGTAGCCCAACATTCACCTCTGCCCACAGCACGAAGGGAGCAATCATGAAGATCCGGCTGCTGACCCTATGGGTTGCCCGCAGTCCACAGCGCCGCCAAAATTGGAAAGATGTGTCACCAGCCAAGCAAGTGGGCTACGATGTTGACACTCGATGGAACTCAACCTATATCATGATAGCGGACGCCCTTCGGCTACAGAAGGAACTTGGACAATTTGTTCGGATGCATCCAGAAGTTCACGCCCTTCAACTAAACGAGAACGAATGGTCGATTCTTCAACAAGTAGCGAAGGTTCTTAAGCCATTCTGGGATCACACCAACTCCGTATCAAAATCTTGTCCCACGATTGTTGAGAGCTTGCCTATCTATTGGAGTCTAGATGACCTCCTTGACGAGGTTCAAAAAGCCGAAGGTGATTTTGAAGGTGTGGATACTGAGATCCGGGATGCGGTGGAAAGAGGAATCCAAAAGATGAACAAGTTTGCGAGGAAGATGGACACCAATCTTCTTTACTACGTGGCTTCCGTCCTAGACCCGCGTATTAAATCGTCTTTGATTGGATCGCAGATGAGCGAGCAAGATGCGGGACTGATCATCTCTCAAGTGCGGGAGTTCCTAAAGAGGGAGTATCCGCAGGAGTTGTCCATGTCGTGTGTAGTGGATCGCCCGCCGGGAATGTCAGAGACTATGTGGAGGACGCTGCGAAAAGTACAGCCATCACAGCGGACGCTTCTTTCAGACATTGATAGATATCTAGACGCGCCACCGGTGAGTTGGTCCCACCATATGATTGACGATGCAGACGAGGAATGGGTTCTCAAATGGTGGAAGGCAAATGTATTTAGCTTTCCACTCATGGCAAAGGCAGCCCGAGATTACCTGCCAATTCCATCAGCGGAGGTAGGGATTGAACGCGAGTTCAGCAATGCCAGGGATGTATTGGGGCTCAGGAGACACTGTCTAAATGCGGAGACTATGCGGTGGCTTATGCTACTGAAGGGACAGTATCAAAAATAGCGTTCCAAAAAAGTGATTGTGATAATATTAAGATTTATGGGAATGTAATATCTTAGAGATGGTGAACGCATTTGTTATAGAGTCTTAGGCACATGAAAATGGGTTCCTGTATTGAGACGTAACAACATGAACGGTAATGTATGCTCTCTCAGTATATGAATAAATATGATCATTCATGAATATTCATGAATAATGCAATATGAATAAGTCTCTTATTCATATTCATATTATGCAATTCATATTATTCATATTCGCAAATATTCATGAATATTCATGAATGATCATATTC